AACCTAACCAAAACAGAGAAATCAGCGTACCTGTCTGCAAAATTGTTGGTAAATAGCTTAATAAAAAAAATTGTAATAACACATTCACAAATTTCAACATTTTGTTCCCATTTAAAATTATCTATGTCAAAGCTCTAGTATTTTAACAAATCGGCGAACACGTAAAAATGGAAATTCCGAAACTATATATATAGTAAATATTAATACGCAATTAATCTTGCGACTTTTTTAGTTTGAATAGAATAGAATAGAACAGAAATATTCTTCTTATTTTATCAAAGTAAATATATAAAATTGCTTTTCAAACAAGTAAAACTAAATGACGATTTTTATCAATAATTTCATGTACATTTAGTTTGTACATGTATTTGCTTTTTTTCTGTACAGTATCGTATAACATTATTTAGCATGAATTTCAACGAACAAAATCGATGTCTGATTAAATTTCATGTATGTAAAAGTTTAACGTTTAAACGATTTTCATTTAAAGTACATCATTGCTATAAAATATATAATGTACAAAATACAAGATTGTCAAGCAAACATTTCTTTTCAATAAATAAACAGAATTTAATAAAATGATATTTATTTAGATTGGGAAAATTAAATAACACTCGAGAGTCAATTCTGTAAATCAGTACATGAATTACATACATGTATGAAGAACATGCATGAGACAGAAGCAGTCACATGCTTTTCAAATAAAGTTATTAAATATAAATATAACAACATAATTATCAAAATAAAAGTTAGTAACACAACATGACATAACAGATTAATAATACCATTTCCTACCATGTGCTACAAAAAAGGCATTCCATAAGAGACGACGATGCCAACTAATTCCGAATTGTCCCTCTTAGATCTACTCAATCTACTGATGTTCCATGACAGTATAGATAGATCCTCCTCCTCGTATCCCTAGTCTCGTACCGGTTTCTTGTTGATGTAAGAGGTATCGTCATGTGTCCATGATGTTTTACCTTCGAAATGGGTCAGAAGTTATTTCCTTTTGTCAACACGTTCTTTTGTGAATTGTTCATTCATAAAATAAGGGTACATGACAACGCATTCCACTGCTTTCTAACAAACTCTTCAGCCTTATCATATCAAGATTGCGAAACAAGTTCTTGTAACTTATTATAATCACTTTTGAGTCCGCTTTCTGGAACCATCCAGAACTGGTGTCATATGAAGGTACATGTACAAGGTGGTGACCCGATAAGGGCTCGAACTCTTGATCCCTATGTTGAGAAGCAGACACCTTAACCACTACATGTAGGCCCCGCACCCCCCGCACCCCTCAACGGTGCTAGTGATTACAGCTTTCTGCAGTGATGACAGAAATCTGAAGTATACTGAATACTACAGGTAGGTTATGAGCTTGGTCGGTATATTTATATTACGCAAATAGGTTTGGACCAACTGTCCATTGACTGGAGATACTATACGGTAAATTTGGACTTGTTTCAATCTTTCATTTAATAATTTTGAGCCGTTTAAAAATGACAGCCTTGGAAAATCCTTGAAAATAATTTTTGGTTCAAAATATCGCAAGTTTGAAATAAATAGACGTGATTTCATGTTATAAACATTAACAATCATCACTTAGGTTCACGCAAGCAAAAATATCAACCAAGTGTGTCTTTTCTTAAGAATGTTACGGGCGTCCAAACTCGCCCGGACGAAGTAAAATTTTTGGCCGTTGAAGACAGAAATGTATTTTCGAGGAAGTCGATGATGACAGAAACCCTCATAGTCATTTTGATATTCTGTCAGAATATAGAATTTTGGATTATGGAAAATAATAACATTTCTTAGTGTTTTATAGTAAATATACAAATGTACTTTGTTTTTGTTTGTTTTCCTTTTTTCTTTTTTATATGGCGCCGAAACAGAAATGATAATTTTGGCTAACATCGGGCGTTACAAACTTAATGCAACACTAGGGATAAAGGGATAACAACCACATCACCTGCTAGAGCTAATAGATCCTAAGACACCAGTATAGTGACTATAGTCGTCTTAAACGATCACGCAGGGATACACGGTTGCTGCAATTCTGATGCATCAACTCTTAAAGGCAATCTCTCAACCACAAAGGGGGTAGAAAATATAGTAAGATAGCTCTGGAAATGGATTATCTAGCATCACTTCTCACGGGTCGAAAAATCATCGTCGTACTTTTTGTACTTGGTCATATTCAATAAAAAGCGATAGTTGTCCGTTCCATGTCTCACATGTACTGGACTACCAATGTTCGATTTAGCTATGTACCAAGACAAAGAAATTGTGAAGTTATTTACTTTATTACAGAATACGGGATGGAGCAAGAATGTACGGAAGTTTAGTCTGATCAGGTTTTATATTGTCGCCGCTAAATTCAACAAGCTTGAAATTATTGAAATGTCATTATTATACCGTTTTCATAGTTACTAAAATATAAAATAGAAAAGCACACAATTACAAAGAATTTGGAATGCTTAAAGTAGATTCAGATTCGTCTGTTAAAACGCTGTGCATGTTAATGAATCCCCATTTTTTCACCGACATCTTTGATTGTTTGTAGTGTCCAAATCCTACCCTACCATCGGGTGATAGTAGTTTCAGTTTTACTTTGTCTCCTGTAACGAAACAGTATTTTTAATAACACAGGTAATGCTTATAATTCATATGTGTCAGAGAGTTAGAGATTTCTTCCTGAACTATTTAATAATAATAATAATGATGATAGTAGTAGTAGTAGCAGTAGCAGTAGCAGTAGCAGCAGCAGCAGTAGTAGTACTCGTAATGACACAGTCAAAAGTATTTTATCTGAATTGTATATAGAAAACACGTAAATCAATAAAATTTCTGCAATACTTGCAGAACTTTATTCGTTAAAAATTTACCTTTCTTTAACTTAAGAAAATAGTCCGGCACATCTTCCGCGTCTTCTATCAAAGTAGTTGTTCGATTAAACGAGTCTGAAATAAAAACAAAACAAAGAAATCAGTCTTACTTTCATACTTGCTTACGCTCATGTCTTGAAAATTTTCCTAAATTTTTTTCTCTCTAAATCTGAGTATACATGTGTTATAAAAAGTGACAATTTTTAACACTCGAGACTTTGACAGAATCATTTTAATTTTTACGGTTATGACGGAAGCGTTTAAGTCATCATCTACATGATTTGAGCATTCGTAACAACTCGGCTTCATTTCCGGCAACTTCGTAACGTATCGGAATAGTCCGAGGTGTTCCGAGTGTAATTTGTGTTCCATCATGTATTTGTAAAGCTATTAAGCTCTATTTAAGCATTAAATTTCATAGTAAAAGATCACGACACATGCACAGCCAAACCCATTAGTCGCCGGTAGAAACCGGCGACTATATTTGTAACAGTTTAATATTATATCTATGGTAGGAGAAGGCCTTAAAATCTGAATATAAAAGCAAATCAATTACTGAACAATTAAGGACCACAATTATTTTTCATAATCTTAAAAATTCAAACATAAAGTAACGTTGCTAAATGAAATGAAATATACAAATATTGACACCTTAAAAAGCAACATTACAATTTTCATAAAATGAATTAATAATGTATCCCTATGGACCAGTCATTGAATTTAGAGATAATTTTACTTTTTTCTAAGTGTCAAGCGTTGCTATTTTATGATATTTGAAATAACACATGTAAATTATTTGGTTGTTTATTTTTATGAGACCTATTATATTTCATTATTTTATCTAATTATAAACAGATTCTCCCTCATCTTTTGTAAGAATCACGTGACTACACGTGGTGTGTTATTGTTATAAAATCTATTAAAAGTAACAGATTGCTGATAAGACATACAAATAACTTGTGAATAGTTGGCAAAAGGTATCGCGACTGAAAAGATGCAAATGTATAAATAATTACAAAGTTATCTTTCATTAATCAGTTTCATATTTTATATCATTAGAAAGGTCTGTATACTCATAATTTACACATCAAAGAATAAGTTTTCAAAACCTTTTCATTTTTTCTTGGTAAAGGGTTAAACTTGGCCATTTCTTACAACGTTCAATAGGAAAGAGTTTCTAAAAAAGCTTAGCTTCCTACTCAATCCGTACTATTTATTATTTGTCAATTATCATGTAAATGTAATACTTATAAATAAAATATTGTTTAAACTAACGTTCAATAATTTAGTTTAGGTTGAACATCACAATAAAGAGGCACATTTATAGAAATAAATAGTGGTAATCGTCGTCTTCGTTATATTCCGTCGATTTCCGTCGCGCAGGTTACCAAAACGGTATGACGGTAGGGATCCAGAATCGTATTAGAAACATTAAGAAAGCTATATAATAAAATATATTTTTGTTTTTGATATTTTATCGAAATGAAAGGCATTTAAACGTTAACTATATATCGTTTGTAACGACAGGAATATTGATTTCAACTAAATTATATATTTTTTCGATAGCGCATAAGAATATTTGTTTATGCAGATACCACTTTTACGGTAGAATTGCATTGTTTCATGCACAATAATGTTTTTACCTCTGCATCCTGAGTCCAGAACTCAATGAATTTGCTGTTGATGCAAAGTTTCAAATAATGTGCATTTTTTGGACAGTAATAAATACCAAATTGTGTTCAAGTTATGTCAATCATATTCTAGGTATGCAAATCTTCTACAGATAAGAAATAATAATGTGCTATACTGCATGTAGATAAGCATAAAAAGATGAAGTTTTGATTAATATCAAACTAAATTAATGGAAATAAACTTATTAAATTGCTTGACAGTTTTGAATAATTTCAGTATCATTGCATTGTAATTATTGTATAAATCAAATTCATTTTTCTCCCTTTTATTATTAATATACCTTTCATATCACTAAAGCAATATTAAGCCTTGTAACTTGGATTTGTCGGCTAAATTTTGGGACTCATATATTTATAGCCCAGCGAGTCCTAGGACCCACACTGGTGAGTTTGTGAAAAATCACTGCATGCAATAATTAAAACATATATATTTTCAAATATTCGATGACCGTTAATTATTTGGCGGTATACAATAAGGATTTCGATGTCTTGTATAACGGTATATGTATAAGGTAGAATTACAAATAGAATTACAAGAATATCACTCGCCTTACAAGATTAGTCAAAATTATGAAATAAAAAAATGCTAGAAATGAAACACGATTTATCAACTTATGTTTCATAAAGTTAAAAGAAATAATAAAAAAATAGTTTTGTGAAAACTGCAAAAGGGATTTTCAAAGATTCGAACTTGGCCTACTAGGTCACAACTTCGTCATACTTACCACCACTAGGCCATCGAGCAATATTAATTGATTTAATATCGAGATCTATACTATCAATAAAATCTTTAGCATTAATCATAATTAGTTACGTAAACTAACGAAACACCACCCGAAAATTAATGAGTCTCAGGTCAATATTGCCAGACAATACTTGCTTATTTAATAATCATAGCAGTTCCTTGACAATATTGCTAAGCAAGTTTGCTTCATATATGTTTTATTGTGTTCAGTTACTTAACATATTGTTTCTCTTTTCTTTAAACTTGAACCATTTATTAAACTGATATTTTCTTATATTTATGATAATTCAATCATTTTTCTATCCGGCGACTTGATGCTTTAGCATCAAAATCTCTACTTGTTTCTGTTGATCAAATTAACGGACAATTTACCGCCATATGTACTGTATGTAATATCGTTGTAGGTATACATGGACAACTTACCGCCATATGTACTGTATGTAACATCGTTGTAGGAATACATGGAGTCCTGTAGGCGTGGTCGCTGAATTTTCACGTTGAAATCAGAACTAGATATATCATTCTGAAATTAATTATTTATTTTACTATTAAATGAACTTTTTTTGTAAATGTCTGATCAGGATCCATGCTGTTCGCTATCAGTTTCTCTACTTGTTATAGAATATGTAAGCGAACAGCATGGATCCTGATCAGACTGCGCGGATGCGCAGGCTGGTCTGGATCCATGCTGGTCGTAAACCCTTTATGTTGATTTTGTCATGACGCGGCTCATATGTCCTTGAATAAACAAAACTTGAAAATTGTAGGTAAACACAGCCGCAGTCGGACTTTACTTACTTTAAATTCATAATATTACAACGAGTTAAAATTTGACAAAAAGACACAAAATTCCCATCATACATGGTCTTGAAGGGCATGACCTGCTTTTTGTAGTTTTTTTCTCTCCCTTTTAAATCCACATGAAAAAGAGTGCATGTATTATAATTATAAAGTTGGAAGAAATCTAAATCAGCCGTATTAACTTTTCATTCGACTTCTATTTGAATGACTATTCTGCTACTTAATGTCAATTAATTTGCATAGAAATATGACAATATGCAATGGAGAGGAATATTTGTGGCAAAGCAACATATTAATGATTATCAGTCTATGACAAAATACTGCTATTATAATTTACTCCCGCATTTACACATTAATTTTATTGTATAATTGTACGAATATAATAGTGACGTTAGTGGTAGAGCTGGATATCGGAAGCAGCCATTTATGCGTCAATACATTTCTACACATATACTTTTTTTAAAAATATCGCACTTATAATTTTGTTCGTGACTAGAACCAATGACCTATATAACACCTTCCCTCCATAGTTTGATGTTTGAAATCAGATAAACTTACAGCTGGTGTTATCAATATATATGTCTTGCATGTGGTATCGTAAAGTGACTTGCTTATATGATCCGGGTCCAATATGTAGCTAAACCTACAAATAAACACAAATACTAAATAAATACTTGTTTGTGGCGGCATGGCCGGGATGGTTAACGCGTCGGACTAGTAATGTCATGATCACTAGCCGCATGGGTTCAAACCCCTTCAGGGACACGTAGTTGTTTCCTTGAGCAGGAAACTTTACACTGCCTGCTCAGTGGTTGGTTCCAGGAACGGATTCGAAAGTGTGTCTATAAGCTTATAGCTTCCTACACAGTTGGACTAAAATAAATTCTATATACACACAATATTTAAACATATCTTATTAACTATACAATAGTTTACATTAGAAATAAGGCAAATTATTGTGTAACAAATGATTTTGCCCTATATGTACGATATCTTATTTAGAAATATTTCTAAATTATTTGATTAAGGTATATGTAAAACCCCATGAATTTTTATATAATAAATCATAAAATAATAACCGTTTGGCTACCATTTGGACTGTTGCCATGAGTAAAATATCAATAAAAAGAAGGTACAAGACTATTTCATTCAGCAAGGATCAGTTTAAATAGTATTTTATTGCATGTACATTACAAACAATAATAAGGAGGATACCAATCTTCAATATACACAAGTATCACATGTTATTGTGTCTGTTTAATTTTAGAAATAGATATAAAAAAACAAGTATTTAAATACTCGTGCTTATATTAATTCACCCCCTTGAGTATTGGAAACAGAATGGTTGGTTTTGATAAGTACAATGTAATGAAAAGTCAGAAGATTCAAATTGAAATTGACTCCTATAGCTATTGCTTTATTTAAGTAAATGTAACTTGCAAAATGTATTTGAACATGTTATTTTCGGTTTCGTTAAACACTAATCTTAAGAAAGCTTTTTGAGGATAAAAATTACGCGTTGTTTCATGTATTTCAAAATACGAAAATGTTTACAAAACTAAAACGTTTAAAGACTGTACCACCGAGACACAAAATGTGTGGAATCTGAGAGCATATGTTCCTGTTGAGAGATAATCTCGCATGTTCGGACAATCTCGTATCCTTTACTTGGACAATATTTAAGTTCGGACAAGCTCGTGTTTTCAGGCGATCTTGTATGAGTGGACAATGTTATAGTTCTACTAATCAAAACGTACAGAAAACAAAAAGAAAATAATGTCACTTTGCAAGTATAAGTTGTGTCGTAACCTGGAATTCAAAACTCTTACTTGGTCGGGTCACTGGCAGAGCAGAGTGCTGTCCATGACTGCAATATACGTTCCCGCATCCGCCGCAACATATTGTGCTCAAGTTTGTTTGCGATCTACATAATTTATATATATATATATAATACAAAACGTGAACATCTCAACACCCTGGGTGTTATCCAGAATAAATGATACGAGAGCTCTAAAATGGACATTTCAAAAATTTATTTCAGGAATTTTTAAATAAGTCGCTTTTAAACCGAAAAATGCGGCTAAACTGAACGTCAAATTTTACACAAAATTGACAGTTTTCTTTCAATTTTCCAATATTTTCGGCGTAAAACGATAAATTTTATATCAGCTTAAAGGAAAAAATAATTTCTGTCGAATGCAGTAGAATTTGTGATATTTTGTCCGCCTATTGCGTTGTGATATCTGTAACAGTTGCCAAGGATACGCAAAGACGTCATGTTCAAAAACGGGCTTTGATGGTCAACTTTGACGTCGTGTGTACAAAAATTGGCTAAAATATTGAAATAAAATTAATGGAATCTAATCTGAAATATGGTCAACTTTCTGCATGCCAATTTTCAAGACGCTACTCGAAAGTTCGCAAAGTGTCGCGTTCTACCTTAAACTATAATAAAGGTTTTCAAGAACACAAAACTCATGCACTACAGTGTTGGAGGTTACAGAAATCATTACCACAAAGTAGGAAAATATCGTATTATTGTATTGTATCATTAGTATTATTATTATCATCATCATTATTATCATCATTATTATTATCAAAAGTTGAAGTTGCTGTCATAATAGCGTTAAAATAAGAGGAGGTTATGAAATGGAAAGGTCATTGTAAGGAAATTAGGGTTCCCTCAATCCCGCATACCAATGACCGCGGACAACACAAACATTCATCATACCTCTGTCATCTCTTGCCTGGTTTCCTGCTCCTGTGTTAGTACAGTATGATAGTCACCAACATTTTTGGAGTGGACTTTTTGTCTAGAAATAACGTCTTTCTTCAACTCCTGCAGGATAAAATACATACAAAACAATGTCAGTTAGTTGACTTTCAATTATATAAAGACTGAAATGTCTGCACAGTCATCAAAAGACTCGTGATAAATTACCATGTGGCTTTGGTAATGTAGTGTTCAATTCGGAACACATCGGATATTACCGAACTTTTATATGGTAGCAGTTGGAATTAGCGTTGCGTTTAAGTTCGGATCACTCAGTGATAAAATGGAGCTATTAAAGCTAAAGATGTACAAAAACACTGGCAAATCATACCTTTATAGCATATTTTCTAGCATTATAATTGCGTTCGTCATCAGTATGGTATGGTAGTGACATTTGAGCGCATTCTAACATGCTCACATACTGTTTCATTTTATCACGTGACTTCCAACATCTCTGGAAACAAACAAACAAAACAGAACTATTTTACAGCAAGTCATGTGGTGTTTCTCATTTTAGGATCACTAGCTTCTAGCACTCGTCTTTTGTTAAGCATATTTTGTTTTACAACATATACAGTTCAACACTACAAGTCTAAACTAAAGCTGGTGGTGTTGTGGTGAAAGATTTAACCCCTAAGCCCAGGGATTAATGGTTCGAGCCCTAATTATGGCGCCGACAATGTTTTTCTCACATGACACAAGTGCTGGTTAGTTACAGGAAGAAAGCATTCTATACATCTGAGCTTAAATGAATGATATCTATACAAAATATGAAATAAAAAAACGATATCAACCTTTTAAGAATGCATGTTTCATCTTTATGTTCTGTCAATCAAAAGTGTATTTTCTTAGTTGCTCCGAACACCTTCGGGTGATTAATTTATTCTATTCCATCCAGATTGTGTCTCAAATCACCAGGACATGTAAACAAATTTTAGTTTTGAATATATTAAACAAATAGACGATTGCAAAGATTTAGAAATGATAGATACCTCTTGGCAGTCCATTAAACTAACCATTAGTTCAGTGTGTTGTTTTGTTAACCGCTTTATATCGGATCTTTGTTTTTCCATTCTTGTTAAGTCTCCTGTGGAAAATCTAATATACACAGAAATCATTTAATTAACTCCCAACATGCAGGATCAGCAATTGGTGCTTTGCGAGGCCAATCGGAACGTCCTCGGTCCTTAACCGAAAACTGACAAAAGTGGTTGAGGCCGATCTGCACATCAATCGCAACTTTTCGGCCCTTTCCCTCAGTCTTCGGATTATAAATAATAGCCGAGGTTGTTCCAATTGGTCTGCACATCTGACCAGTCTGACCAGGCTTTATACTGTTGGCTGACCAAATTTTCATCTTCATATCCATATAATTGATCATCATAGGTCCAAAAATGGAAACTAAGTAATTTAGCAGCTCAATGGTTTGTACATATTGCAATGTACATCCCTGTCTGCTGAAACCATTATTATTACAAATTACAAAAAAGGCAATGTGGTACATGTCATGTGAACTAGAAAAATTATTGAACATTGTTGTCAATAACAACGGCACCTCAATGGTATACACACGGAAATATAAAATATGTTGGTCGTAATTTTGAGGATTAAGCGCCTATAAATGTATTTTTCGAATTAAAATTTACGACTTCTACAATTTTTACACTATTTCGATCAACTATATATGAGCTATTCAAAAAGAAATTGAAATGCTTAGTTATTCGACTCATATTTTCTAGATATCAATCTTATCTGTTGTTATGTAACGCAGTCTTATTTTTGTTTCAGATATATGATATTTATATCATATTTAATAATTGTAAACGCTAATCTGTATTTGCTGTAGCTTTCGACTTTTTTGGCATTCTTCATGTATCAGACTCACGAATATATAATCACGTCATTTTCCTTGTATTGTCAGATTATACATGTATTTGTATGTGTAATAAATGCTGCTGGGAAAGGCCGAAAGACCGAAAGCTACGGCAAAAAACAAATCAGCGTTTTAAATTATATACGACAAATTAGTGATTTTTGGGGAGGCTATGCCGACCCAATGTTAATAACTGTCTGTCAAATCTTACTGCCGCGGTAATCAGGTCAAAAAATAGTACCTTGATTTTTTCTAAGCTGACTCATCACTCATCACAGACATTTACAATATGAAAATATTTTCATTCTTTAATTTCATATCTGCAATTTGTAAAGATAATAATTCTCTGAAAAATTCTTGATTTTTGTTTAAATCACTACTCCGTGACGTCATACTGCCACGGTAATCAGGTCAAAAAATAGTACCTTGATTTTTTCTAAGCTGACTCATCACTCATCACAGACATTTACAATATGAAAATATTTTCATTCTTTAATTTCATATCTGCAATTTGTAAAGATAATAATTCTCTGAAAAATTCTTGATTTTTGTTTAAATCACTACTCTGTGACGTCATACTGCCGCGGTAATCAGGTTTAGGCATACGTATACGTCTGTATTAAATAGTTCTGGTATGAAAACCCTTCAAAATAATAACTTTATCCATATTTTTTTAACAAAAAGCATAAATGAAAATTTATAAGTAAATGCTTTAATTCAGTGGCAAATATTCTTTATTATTTTTGATAACAATTTTCCAATTACTACGCAGCGACCAACTGTTTATGACGGGTCATTAACTAGAACGTTGCAACTACGTATTCTCAATATCATGCATGTGCTTTTGTTGTTATAAACTATTAATAGTCCTTAATATTTTTTAAAGACAAATAATTGTAAACTGTCGCTTACATCAGAGACATGGATCATGCTTGCGTGATAACTAAGGAAAACTAACTTATTTGTACACCCCAGGAGGCTGTACGCGGAAAACGCTCATAAACCGCTAAATCATATAGCTGTTTAGTAAATATTTTGCATACATTTAACTAAAAATTCACTGATGGTGATGAACATATAGTTTAAAAACATTTTATTCTTTAACCATTATCGCCGAAAAAAAAACTATTTAACTACAAAACCCCTAAGGACCTCCGACAAAATCCCAGCACAATATTACATTTTACATTAGCAAAATAAAAAAAGCAATACTTATATTTTCATCTTACATAATTCATTAATCAAACTTTTAACATAAAAGTATCTTTGGTAATTGACAGATCCCTACTCTGATCTTTTATTTGTATAGGAATAAATTTAAACATGTGCTCTTTTGTTTAGGAATATTTTGTAGTGAAAGTCTTATATATTCACTAATCTCATAATTAGAATAAGACAGGTCAGGAATTTATACAAACAGTTGTTTAGTTAACTATGCTCATTTTAATCCCAATAGAAACATTCAAATATTTGTGGTAAAAAACATGACCAAAGTACCTAGTAGTCGTTTACCCGGTGGTGATCCCATTAAACTGATTATAGATTCGAATTGATTAGAAAACACAAATAGAAACATGTGTTTCCGTACAACAAAATCGGAAGTAAAGTGAACAGTTAATGGACAGAAATATGTGGTCAAATATGTTTTAACAAGGAAATAATTAAGTATTTCAGAGAAAGACGCAAAGATCAGTATGACCCCGTATTGTGTAATTAGAAAGTTTATTCAATTCTAGGGCATACATCATAATTTGATAGTCCATTTGTAATAAAATTCAAATTTTCAATACAGATTATGAGATACATAAAAAATATTAAAGAATAAGAAGCTTTAATTAAAAAACAAAAACAAAAACAAAAAAAACCCGCATACATATACAAATTACTTACAGTCGAGCATCGGGAAGTCATTAACATATCTTACGAAACTTTAATTTGAAACCGATATTTGCTCGCGCTGAAGTGATAAATGTTTATTTGAAAAATAAAAAAAAAGAACTTTTATGGTTGTGTTCTAAAAATAATGGGCGGCATAAGAGGAATTTCTTATTCATTTTACAACACTTGAAAAATTACTACAGAAAATGTGTTGTTGTTTTGTTTTCAACAAAAGTGTGTGTGTTTTAAGTTTATTTATACTCGGCGCCGGAATAACCATATGTCCGAGATTATAGCATCTGGGACGTCTTTTTCAAGCAGATTCTTCCTGGAAGCCCATTCTTCGTTCTTTGGTGGTAAAGGAGACGACAATACCGTCAAGGCATCAACTTTCTGACTGACGACAACAAAAACGGCATCTATTAGCGCCAAACCTCCAGAGTAAGTCACGACAGGTCAACCAATCACCTCTGGTACTAATGATGACTTGACTATGACCTTCCGTGTGCCTTCTCCGCGACGTGCACGCCTCTGGAGGTATTTGGAGAAGTTTCAACAAAAACTTCCAAAACACGCCATTTATAACACCATTCATAGCACTGACGGCTTCGATGTTCTCATCTATTTGCGGGAAATGGTCGACAGGGAAAACCCTACGTAATAACCGCACACCCTGTTAACAACAGATTTTCCGCAGTATATATTTCAAGCTAGTGAGGTTTAAAAATACACGTAGAATCTATCGATTAACTACCATAAGTTGGTTGAGTGTTGAGTGTTGGCGGTAAAAAAAGAAGATATAACTTCCTGATCAATTTTCACTTAGGTTGATTCAGTTTTGAATAAGCTTTGCAGAGATGTATTTTTTCAAGAAATATTTAGCTTTAATATTATCCGACGCCGTCAGTAATGAAATGGGATTAATTTTCTGAAACGTGATTTTATTCGAGATTTGCTTCTGAAGAAGACAACCTTCTGTCCGTAGAGCATGAATGTTAATACTCATCACAAGACAGTATGTTATTGATCTCAATTATGGTACATCTAAACGTGTATAATTTTTATGTTCAATAAAAATGTTGCATCACGTGCAGTTGTTATTATCATTCAATAATATTAAAATGACATAAAATATTTATGATGAACAGTCCTAGAATATTTTGATAAGGAACCGTCAGTTGTAAAATGTTATTGTTATCTGATAATGAACAGTCGTCATACTTGCTGGTATGTCATTTATTATTGACAGTTTAGGTTTTTCAAAATTTGCATGATTAACAGTCCGAATGTAGACCTTAATTAAATGTTCTGGAATATTAACAAAATGAATAGTCAACCTCATTAACCATATATATGAATGGTTGAACACAACAGTAAGGATAAATAGCGCAATGTGCATATCTTTTTATTTTGGTAGCATATTTTAAGCAAAAAGAAAAGAAACTATAAGTCTGAAACATTCTCTCATAGCCTCCCCATCAGTACATTCAGTGCTTTGATATTTATATGTAATACTCACAAAATGTTCGGACTTAGTTCCTTCAGAAACCTGTGTTCTGGCTGCTTGTATGCAAACGCTGCATACTTTAAACAGTCATACAGCGTCGCGATTTCTTTGTCTGAAACAATTTAAAACAGTTAATATGATGTTTATGATGTTGTTGATATGGTGGTGGCACAGATATTTAACTCCATGGTGGTGGTTGGGGTCGCTTGTGTACTGTTATTTTTTATACGATTTCGACATTTTTATGGCGATTTTTTACTTTTTAATGGTGGAGGAAGACCATCCGTGCATAATTTCAGGCAAGAACAGGCATATAATTAGAAACACTGACGCTTTGAAAGCCAGCTGGATAGCTTCCCCAAAGTCCCTGACGGGACTCAAATTATACCCACAGAGGTGATGGGCAAGGGGTTCAAGATCAACGGCCTTAACCACTCGGCCACGGTCGTCCTTTAAGTTCGATATACTTCGCGACTACCTTATACGAAGTTCGATTCCTGCCTCTTCACACCGAATCAAACACATCTTCCCCCACCCTTTCGGATCACCATAGCTTCAATAAATATAATTTTTTTCTTGTTTTGTCAATTTGAACTTTACTCACTACATGTAAACTTACTTGGTATATCTTTCGTTATAGACATTTCTTTGAGTATAGTGACAGGTCCCTGGTGTTTCCCATTTGTACAATGTGCGTGCTTTAGCTTGTATGCTAAATAAATAAACAAGCTCAAGTGTTTGTATCTGAAAACAAAAACAAAATAAAACATAGAACAATGTAGCCATGTATCAATTAATGGCTGTGATATCATTCATAGTGGTTAAGGTGTCTGCCTCTTAATCAAGAGTTCATGGGTTCGAGCCTAATCGGGTAACGCCAATGTTTCTTTATTTGACACCAGTACTGGTTGGTTTCAGGAAGAGGACTCAAAAGTTGTATATTTAAATTAAAAGAACTTGTTTCACTATCGAGCTTAAATAAACATAATGTTAATCTTATAAACATTTACAATATATTGACATGTACTAAATAATGTAAATATTCATGTATATTTCTTCCTGGGCTGTACCAGCTCGTGGTCCTGATGTCTAAACATAAAAGTCGTTGGTTTGAGTTCTCCCTTACACTCGCGAATATTTTCCAGTTAAGACTGAGTCTGTATTTAATTTCATTACAAGTACAAAAAAATGTACAAGCAATACTTTATTCTTGTGCAGCGACATTAAAATCTTCTCCTGTAGAAAGTATGTGTAAAGTGGGTATCAATCTTTTCTTCAAAGAAAAGGTATAACTTTTACTGGAGATCATGGATAAAGTCCGTGCGGAAACTCACTGTTTTTATATATTTTTCTGAACTTGTTTCGTTTTAGAAATATTTACATGAAATATAAGCTTATTTTAGGTGTCATATAGAGCTACGTGTATTTTTTATAAGTAATAAAATATTTACATTTCATTCTCCTCGTGCCAGAAGCTGAACTGTGGAATTTTGATAACTTCCATCTCTCGTCAGTCATACATGATCACTTTACTTATCCACATGTTCCCATAGTAATATCATCATAACGTCATAATAAAATGACGTCAGTTATTGACGTTAATGATTAAAGTGACACGACGTTCGTCTATATTTGAGCCGTGCCACGACAAAACGAACATAATGGGTTTGCGACCAGCATGGATCCAGACCAGCCTGCGCATCCACGCAGTCTGATCAGGATCCATGCTGTTCGCTTACTAACCCTATTACTTATAGAGAAACTGATAGCGAACAGCATGGATCCTGATCAGACTGCGCGGATTGCTGCGCTGGTCTGGAGCCATGCTGGTCACAAAACCATTATGTTTGTTTTGTCGTGAGACGGCCCATTTGAAAGTTTTAATTTTTACATAGGTTCCATGAAAATGACGCTGATGAGGAGGCCACTTTATATTTGACATTGGTCAAATGATAGCGTGTTCTACAAAAGTCTGCGGTCAAATATCAATTATATTATCGAATGTAATTTAAACATTTATGAAAATTTATGATATATATAGAGGATATTCAAGTTTTTTCTCTAAATACAGGATTTATTTTCATCGACTGGTATAAACATAAATATTTCATGAGTGGCGGTGGCCACGAGTGAAATATGATAATTTTCATACCACAAGATGAAAATATATCCTGTATTTAAAGAAAAAAAACTTGAATTTTCTGTTTATTATATGCATTTCTTAATTTGTCATTACAATTTGAATGAATTTCCGTTAAATTTTGAGTACTGGCAGAATTTAAAAGAAAGTAGTCCGGCAAAACACAAGTGAAATACGGAAAATATGTTTCACTGCAGTGAAAAATAAATTTTTACTGTGAAAATACGGAAAATGAAAATATGCATTTTATTACATCAATATAATAAGATAATATACACACAGAAGAAAATGCAACAAAAGAAATCAGGATTTTATTGACAGAACTTGTCGAGTAAATCGGTAACCGTGTGGGCTCAAACCTCGTCAGCAAAAAAAATACATATATACATGGTTGATGTTTGGATGAAGAAAGTTTATCCGGCGAACGAGAAAGTGTATCTTGGCCAGCTTAACCCTTTCCCCAATGAGCATATTGTGAAAAATGGCCATTTTCACTGAAAAGCCTCCTCTAACAAGTTCAAACTGCTATGAAACGATGAAAAATGCTTCAATACTAATCAAACTTGGCACAAATGTTGACTGGACCATTGCCTTTGTTACGACATGCTCAGTCTTAAATTTCCTGTTACCATGGCAACGAGGGGACATCTCAAAATTGCCAAAAATCACTTTTTTGCCTCGATTTTTTCCATCAAAATTTACTTCAAAGTGCTGCAACTTCTCAAGGGATAGAGATAGAGTCAAAGGCTTTTCAGCGTTGGTTACACGTTACCTTATGATCAACCTGGGGTCATTTTAAGCCTCTCACAAGTCCAAAATTTTCTTGGCGATGAGGGGGACTCCGCCCCCCTTCAACCCCCCCCCCCAAACAGAAGGGGGCACATCCCCCTTCTGGCAACCCCCTCATGTATTATTTGGATGGGGGACGGCGCCGAAAAAATGGTCACTTTTTTTACAACATTCTCAAACGAAAAACAGTGTTTGGGGTCTAAATAGGACATTTTTTCACTGTTTGAGGCCTCAAAAGGGGGGGGGGGTCAAAAAGCCGTCGAAACACGCTTATATAAGGGAAAAGGTTAACAAAAAAATTATGAAAAACTTAGGAATCACCCAAAATCTACTTTTTCCATGTTAACATGTGATCTTTTACCTAATTTTGGTGAAAAATTGTTGTTTTGTAACATTTATAATTTTTTTAGTTAACCCTTTCCCCCATGAGCATATTGTGAAAAATGGCCATTTTCACTGAAAAGCCTCCTCTAACAAGTTCAAACTGCTATGAAACTATGAAAAATGCTTCAATACTAATCAAACTTGGCACAAATGTTGACTGGACCATTGCCTTTGTTACGACATGCTCAGTCTTAAATTTCCTGTTACCATGGCAACGAGGGGACATCTCAAAATTGCCAAAAATCACTTTTTTGCCTCGATTTTTTCCATCAAAATTTACTTCAAAGTGCTGCAACTTCTCAAGGGATAGAGATAGAGTCAAAGGCTTTTCAGCGTTGGTTACACGTTACCTTATGATCAACCTGGGGTCATTTTAAGCCTCTCACAAGTCCAAAATTTTCTTGGCGATGAGGGGACTCCGCCCCCCTTCAACCCCCCCCCCCCAAACAGAAGGGGCACATCCCCCTCCTGGCAACCCCCTTTGGATGGGGGACGGCGCCGAATAAATGGTCACTTTTTTTTTTCAACATTTCTCAAACGAAAAACAGTGTTTGGGGTCTAAATAGGACATTTTTTCACTGTTTGAGGCCTCAAAAGGGGGGGGTCAAAAAGCCGTCGAAACACGCTTATATAAGGGAAAAGGTTAAGCAAGCCATCTACTCTTCGGCTTCCCCCGGCGAGATGTGGCCGACATTTGGTATAAACGAAACAGTTACTGTATTGAAATTTATCATCTGATAAATAACAAACCCAAAAGTTAAAAAGATTTGGTCTCTTTTATACGTACTTTAGAAGTAAGTTTTCCTACGTATTTCAGTACATGTATTGCTTCTTCGTCACTCTTGAAAATGTTACATCCGTTGGTCACTCTGTTTAATTTAATTTAAACAGTCTTTATTTTGGGTATGTGATAAATAGAAGTGTAGGTTCATTAATGAATTTATTGAACTCGTATAATTAATAATATAATATCATATAATATCATATAATATAATTTTATTTAACTTGTTCAATAAATTCAGTATTGAACCTACACTCATTTAATATCCTCTATTAATTGGATTATAGTGATGTAAAAGTTGGAAGTCATTATAATAATTTGTGGTGTTATACCTATTCCTCGGGCTCATAAGATAAAGGTAGTGTCCCTTTGATAAACAAACGCCATTTACAGTCACGTGACAGAATGTCAGACCACAATCCAATGAAAATCGCTAAATTTTGTGGTGTTATTTATATCTGGGTAATTTACAAAGTTTTTCTATTTATATCAAATTGGGTGTTTCACTCTAAAGGAAACGGAACACAGACAGAGATGGATATTGCTAAAATAGCAAAGAATCTGGTGAAATCAGTTGACAAAGGCGAGGTAAATGTTAAATTTACTATTAACTATTTTAGCTCATATATGATTTGTTATCAGTTGTAAATTATTTCACCGGTCATTTACATTACCCTAAATGTAAACTTAAAGTTACGTAACCGCACAATATTTAGTACATCACTCATCGGCGCATGATAGAATCTACGGTTATAGTCATATATTCAGTACATGATTTAGATTATGCAATGTTTTACCCATGTCTCTGCTTTGCAGTTTTGAAGTTTTCCTGGTTCAACCAAAGTTCAGAATAGAACTTTAGGGCCTATTAACAACACAGGTTATCGGCGTGGGACCAAGCCCTACCCCTAAGGTACCACCCCCAGGACCCACTATACTACCCAAATATACTTCAATACATTCAAAATACATGTCAATACAAAATCAAACAATTCTATCAAAAAATATAATACTGATACTATAAACTATGGTACCTTAGGGGTAGGGCTTGGTCCCACGCCGATAACCTGTGATTAACAAGAAATGTTGACAATATCAAATTAATGCACAAATCTCATGGTTTTCTTATGTCCGTACAGTGAGTATAGTCAATGCACAGATCTGACGGTTGTTGTAGATATACAGTATGTGGACAGTACAATATTGCACTGATATTATAGTTTTGTTGAGAATTTCTGATAGTTTCAATTTAATTCACAAACCTATTTTAAATATCAAATTTCTGACAGTTTTGTTGTGCATTCCGACAGTATCAAAGGCTTGGTTGTACATGTATATTTTGACACAATCAATGCACATACCTCATGGTTTTGTTGTATATTCTGACAGACAGGATCAATGCACATACCTCATGGTTTTGTTGTATATTCTGACAGACAGGATCAATGCACAGACCTCATGGTTTTGTTGTTTATTCTGACAGATAGGATCAATGCACATACCTCATGGTTTTGTTGTTTATTCTGACAGATAGGATCAATGCACATACCTCATGGTTTTGTTGTATATTCTGACAGACAGGATCAATGCACATACCTCATGGTTTTGTTGTTTATTCTGACAGACAGGATCAATGCACATACCTCATGGTTTTGTTGTATATTCTGACAGACAGGATCAATGCACATACATACCTCATGGTTTTGTTGTGTATTCTGACAGACAGTATCAATGCATGCACAGACCTCATGGTTTTGTTGTATATTCTGACAGACAGGACCAATGCACAGACCTCATGGATTTGTTGTATAATCTGACAGACAGTATCAATGCACATACATGTACCTCATGGTTTTGTTGTAAAGTCTGACAGATAGTATCAATGCACATACCTCATGGTTTTGTTGTATAATCTGACAGACAGTATCAATGCATATACCTCATGGTTTTGTTGTATAGTCTGACAGACAGTATCAATGCACATACATGTACCTCATGGTTTTGTTGTGTATTCTGACAGACAGTATCAATGCACAGACCTCATGGTTTTGTTGTATAGTCTAAAAGGATCAATGCACAGACCTCATGGTTTTGTTGTATATTTTGACAGACAGGATCAATGCACATACCTCATGGTTTTGTTGTATATTCTGACATACAGGATCAATGCACATACCTCATGGTTTTGTTGTATATTCTGACACACAGGATCAATGCACATACCTCATGGTTTTGTTGTATATTATGACAGACAGGATCAATGCACATACCTCATGGTTTTGTTGCATATTCTGACAGACAGGATCAATGCACATACCTCATGGTTTTGTTGTATATTTTGACAGACAGTATCAATGCACATACCTCATGGTTTCGTTGTTTATTCAAACAGACAGTATCAATGCACATTCCTCATGGTTTTGTTGCATATTCTGACAGACAGGATCAATGCACATACTTCATGGTTTTGTTGTATATTCAGTCAGACAGGATCAATGCACATATCTCATGGTTTTGTTGTTTATTCAAACAGACAGTATCAATGCACATACCTCATGGTTTTGTTGTGTATTCTGACAGACAGGATCAATGCACATACCTCATGGTTTTGCTGTATATTCTGACAGACAGGATCAATGCACATACCTCATGTTTTTATTGTGTATTCTGACAGACAGGATCAATACGCATACCACATGGTTTTGTTGTATATACTGGCAGTCAGGAATAATGCACAGATATTTTGTTTTAATTAGTTAAGATATGTTGACAGCACTAAAACTTTTCGGACTCCAAGCTTGACAAATTGAAATTAATTTATTCAAATTTAAGACACAAGAAAATACTGATTTAACTAATGAAAGAGTCATTGACAAACCAGATTAAAGCAACTCAAACATGGTACAAACACATGATATTTAAAGAAAGAAAATGTATTATAGCTAATTTCACCACTTTAAATTGTTTTTCTAACTACCATGTTTATAACTTTGTGGACAGTTAATCTATCAAGGTAAGTAATGTTACAATATTTATACACATAACAAGGCATGACTGTACATTCTAGAACTTTTTTTAAAAAAAATTTATGAAAATAAGCACAACAAATGCTGCTACAAGACCCTACTGAAATGTCTGATATAAGTTCATCTAGTGAATAACTATACCCCAAACTTTGCTGGAACTAAAGTCTAACCATCATCAGTGCATTCTGATAATACTCTACACTGTTAGCTGAATATCTTAAGATTTTCATCTTGATATTGGCAATACCAATTATGGACAGTTCCAAATATTGAAGCTTGAAGCGAAATATTAGAAAATAGAAATAGAGTAAGTTAAGGGTTAAGTATAAGGGTTAAGTATAAAGCAACAATGAGACAGGTTTTTATATTTGTTTTTCAGAATGTTACAATAGAATCATTCTGGCAGAATGGACCGTGTGTTATCACATTCCTGCGACGGTTTGGATGACCTTTCTGTCGGCTTGGCGCTAAGCGTCTGAGCGAGCTGAAACCTCGGCTGGATGAAAACAATGTACGTCTTGTTGGCATCGGCCTTGAGGAAGTAGGCGTTGATGAATTTGTAAAAGGGGAGTACTTTAAAGGAGGTATGTACGTAAGGTTTTATTTCATTGTTTTTGTAAATGAAAGTGTATTTTTTGCTTGTCTAGTTTTAATTCTGTTTTTTATCCAGGGTGTCTGTTTGACCCTTGAAATGACTCTTTGACCCTTCAATTTTCTAAAAGGTCTGATTTGACCCTCAGGATTTTAACTGGAGGGTCAAATTTTGTTAAAATCATGGGGATTTGGCCTTGTAGTTGGTAAAACTTAGTCAATATGACACTCAGGATTTCATGGCTACTGAACACCCTGTTATCAGAGAATTAGAGAAGAACATGTATACATTTATACAAGTAGATTTCATTATTCAGACAGTTATTTAATCATCTATACTGACTGTTTTAGTGTTTATAATTATCTGTAGTACTACACTGAAAAACGTTTGTAACACAACACATTTGAGCCGCGTCATGACAAAAACAACATAATGGGTTTGCGACCAGCATGGATCCAGACCAGCCTGCGCATCCGCGCAGTCTGATCAGGATCCATGCTATTCGCTTACAAACTCTATAACAAGTAGAGAAACTGATAGTGAACAGCATGGATCCTGATCAGACTGCGTGGATGGGCAGGCTGGTCTGGATCCATGCTGGTCGCAAACCCTTTATGTTGGTTTTGTCGTGAGGCGGCTCATGTCTTGTTTTTCATAAATATGGTGTTTACTGTTTGTGTAAGATACCATTCTGAAATTTTACCAAAGGAACTTGAACCAGGTGCACAAGTGGTCCATGCTGATCTGCAGTTCTGTGGCCTTGGCCTTGAGTATCCATTGCCTCTTTACCTTGATCTTGTAATCTGTCTTATGTGAGTTTCAAAGCAGTTTGTTTTCGCGGGGAAACTCTACCAGACTATCCTCATTGCCCAATCCATAATGCTGCAATTCTTTATCTGTTTCTTCCCTCTCTTTGTTATAGTCAGACCGTCCTCATTGGGGGTTTAAGGGTGTTGCGGGTCTTCAGGGGTTGTCACATTGTGCAGCACTTCTTTGATTTTTCGTCATGGTGGCATGATTCTGACTGTTCAAATTCACAAAACAGCTGAATTCACAATGGAATTTCCAGCATTTTGTTGTTTGACCATAAAAATAACATGCCAGCAAGATGCTGTCATTATTCACACTTTAGTCACACGCTCAACTTACTCGTCTAATGTTGACAAATCATTTATCTTGCGCCAGTAGCACATTGGCACAGGCTTATGGTTTTCAGGGGTATCCTACTTGGTCACAGTTATACTATTCCTGTGTGTTAGACACACGCTAGTCATGCATTTTTTAGAAGTTCATCACATGCTGGATGTGTCATCCTTATTTCAGAACGCTCAAAAATCCAATTCTTGAAATGTTCAGAGAACAGTGTCTAGAATATCATGTTGTGTCAGTCCCATAATACCTTAAATAATATTCTAACACTATCGGAAATTTTTCTATATAAACAAAGAAGGCCCGAAGCGTGCATTATTCTACAACAATGCACTCGCCGTTCTCATTATCTCCCTGTGTATTTTCACATTGAGGGCGCCATTTTGTTTGAAAAATCTGATAAATAAAAACAATTTTTTGTCGAATTTTGTTGTGAAAACTATCTAGAATGAAAGAAAATGGTCTAACTAAGAAAATTAATCCGAACACCAATATCTTTAAATCAGTCGTTAACGCTGTACTGACGTTTAAAGTGTTGTTTACGTGACGTCACAATGTAGCGCCAAACAGCACGTGCAAAACAATCAAATCGAGAACGCTATTTTTATGTCGCAAACGAGTTAAGTTTTATATTTATTTCACTTTTAATAATTTGTATTTCGCTTGAAAAATTATAGAGTGAAATAAAATAAACAAACAAAATTTATAAACGTTTTCAAAATTCGTTATTCTCAAAATGTTTCTACACAGGGTAGATTTAACGACAGTTTTTTTCATACCACTGGAACAGCCTTTAAAGAACGTTTCTATTGGAAACTCTGAGGCGAAAACAAATTTAATCACCAAACATAAAGTCCAACTTTATAATGATAATTATATTTTTTCTTGACGTGTTAGAATGGAAATAGATATTAATTCTTCGTGCATTATTGTATAATAATGCACGTTTTTCGTTCAAATGCTTTGTAATTAATCACTCAGGCCTATCGGCCTTCGTGATTATATTACTACGCATTTGAACACAAACCGTGCATTATTCTACAACAATGCACTCAGAATTGATATCTATTTCCTAAACGTTGATTGTATTTAGTATCATTCAAAACAACAAACCACGAACAAATTTTGTACATGGATGTTGTAACACATGTTTACATACTAGCAGATGATAAATTGTTCTGGAACAAAATATTATTATTCATCATATAAATGTTCATCCTAAATCAGCTAAGGCTTTATCAAAAATTTTTTCAAGTATATTGTTAAAACCAACATTTTCAGTGCGTTTGCGACCAGCATGGATCCTGATCAGACTGCGCAGATGCGCAGGCTGGTCTGGACTATGCTGGTCGCAAACGCACTATTTTGGTTTTGTCCTGACGCGGCTCATATATTACTTCATTTCAAAAATAAATTCAGTCATTATTCACTCATGCAACAAAGAATGATGCATCCATAAATTCGTTTTGAGACAATCATTTTGGCCAACAGGCACTGTCATGTGGCCCAAAATTCATTTTGAGATACAGTCACCTCCTATTACAGGGTTAGTCCAATTAACTGTACTGTGTGACAAGATATTGTGCTATTTTGTGTCTGGGTAGAAACAAGATTCTGACCCAGAATGAAAATATCTCAGAATCTAGCTTTGGCACGTCAATATATTTTGACTAATTTAATTATGACAGTCATGATTGCTGTTACATGTATAATATAATGTAAAAGTATGTCAGTCAAATAACATTGTTTTAATTTTTAATCCTTTTTTTTACAGTCGTGTTTAAAAAATTTATAATTTTTTTTTGATTAATTGACTGGACTATAAAATTTACAGGCAAATCGTAAATATCTTGCATCAGATGAGTGTTTTGAGGCCAGGACATCCGCGCCAGTCATAATGTCAGAATAATATATATAATCTATAGTGTTGGGGATTTTATTATCAAGCCAATTACATAGAGTAGTCATAATATGAAAATGAAACATTTTAATTGTTTATAAAACAAGCATGGACAATATGAATGGTATCTTTCAATGTCATGTCCAGCATGATAGTAATGACCTTGTCACCTGTTTTATAATCTAATATTCTCTATGTTGTTGGTCATCACGTAAGGGTAACCGTAAAGACCTACTTAAGATAAAATTAATGATATCATAGTCCAAACTAACAAGCAAGTTCAAATGATACATGATACATATTTCAGCTTAATATAAGCCTGGTCATTGGGTCATAGAGGATGGGGGGAGATAGTATCTGAGCATTTTATGTTAAAGTTTTTTATATAGAATAATTTTTGTGCATCGTTATAGTGATGTGAAAGTTTATGATTTTTATCATTTTACTGCTTATAACTGTTCATGTAACTGAATATGAACACAAATACTCAGTTCATGAAATAGTCATAAAATAAAATTTTGGCAATAAATTGAAAACTATGGTTAAGTTGATATGGTATACTATAACTATATATACATGTACATGTATATTGTATATTGTATAGGTTACACATAGTTTATATTGACATATTTTACCATTAGTTTATCTCCATATTTACAGTATATATTTTATACAGAAATAAGAGAATTTAACAGCTCTTAACACATATCATCTATGAAGCTAACAAAAAAATATTTGAATTTAACCCTTAATACCCTTCTGAAATTGAAAGTGTTCACCACCAGGATAGAACCAGTCGAGCCAGCACATCCGTGCAGCCTGACCGAGTGCTATTCTGTTTTCTGACTAACCAAATATTGACTACCAAGCAAACACATAAATATTTTAATTTAGCCATTACCCTACTGAAATCAAAAAATGTTTACCTCCAGGATAGAACCAGTCTAGCCCACACATCCGTGCAGTCTGACCTGACCGGGCAGTCTACTGTTTGCTTACTAACTTTTAACTACAAACTTGATATCCCTCAAAACTGATTATAGACTCAATATCCCCCAAAACTAATTATGATCTTGGTTTAAAACAAGGGTAACACTATATGCCCCACTATTTTATGGCAGGGAACATAAAAAAAGAAAGCTGGACAAGTCCATTTGATTAAGACTTATAAAAATGATAATTTAAATATTTACAATCTTTATTTATGACTGTTTTGTCAATGCTGTGGGCGGAATGGCACAAGCCATCTTTATATCATTGTTCTGTCTATGCTGTTGGTTTTAAGACTTGGCATGAGAGTTATAGTTTTTTCTTTTATGTGTGGAAGCAATCCAGCTGACCAATGGCAGCCCTCAACTCAGGTCCTCCCTTATAATTGTCAGAATAAATGAGCTGCGTCATGACAAAACCAACATAATGGGTCTGCGACCAGCATGTATCCAGACCAGCCTGCGCATCCGTGCAGTCTGATCAGGATCCATGCTGTTCGCTTACCAACCTTTTTACAAGTAGAGAAACTGATAGCAAACAGCATGGATCCTGATCAGACTGTGAGGATGCGAAGGCTGGTCTGGATCCATGCTGGTTGCAAACGCACTATGTTGGTTATGTCGTGACGCGGCTCAAATGTCAGAAAGAGTGACCATAGGGGAAATCTGGAAAGTCTCCATCATCACAGTATATAAATCAGTCTACTTACTGTACTAGCATGAAAGATACAAGTTAAAATATATAGGCCCCCAAGAAGGGTACAATGATTGAAAGAAAAATGTACTTGTACTCGCAAGACAGGATTCATAGTAAATTGTATATGCTTGCAAGTGATCGCTTATATTATCATGACACTGTGATCATATGATCTTTTAAGTGCATGTGAATTTATTGTTGTAAAAAAAGCTGTAAAATTACACAGTTTATTCACTGGGTGGGGCGTCCATGGCCGAGTGGTTAAGGTCGTTGACTTCAAACCACTTGCCCCCCACCGCTGTGGGTTCGATTCCCAACAGGGACTTTGGATTCTTTCATGTGAGAAAGCTATCCAGCTAGCTTACAGAACGTCGGTGGTTCTACTCAGGTGCCCGTTTGTGCTTGAAATAATGAACGGAAGGGCACCTGAGGTCTTCCTCCACCAGTAAAGCTGGAACGTCGCGATATCAGTAAGGTAAAGTGTATATTACTATTATTCACACATCTCTCTTGGCTGTTGGATCAGAGCTACAATTAAATGGTGTAGAACTTAAAGGATCATATACTTGCTGTGGGTACAGACCGGACTATCTAGCTCAAGAATAACTGTTTACTTGTCTTACATTGGGGATTTAAAAATAGCACCCTTGTGAACAGTAGATAATCCTGTCTGGTATGCAAGAAAAGACCATCACTGGAAGTACAGGAATTTACTTACTGGAATGGTTTATTATCTTTCATGATATAAATGATCAGATGAGGGACAGACAAGATCAGACTTGTGATTTAAGTTTAATTTTATGTTACTATATTTTTCAGAATTATATATTGATACAAAGAAAGAAGCATATAAGGCACTCGGCTTTAGAAGGTAAAAATTTTCTTCGCCATTTAAAAAAATAGGAGTCCCATTGTTCATTCTTATACTTAAACAAGTTTGATTTTTTTAACATCTTATTTAAAAAAGATGATACAAGATACTAGTAAATAATTCTAATATATAAATTAATAAGGGTGTCTGTGGCCAAATGGTTAAGGTCCTTGACTTTATACCACTTGCATCTCACTGCTGTAGGTTCTACCCGCGCCAGCGTCTTTGAATTCTTTCATGTGAGAAAGCTATCCAGCTAGGTTACATAACATTGGTATTTCTACTCAGGTGCCCATTTGTGCCTGAAATATTGTACAAAATAGGCACCTGAGGTGTTCCTCTACCAGTAAAAGCTGGAACGTCATCATATGACCTATACTGTGTTGTTGCAATGTAAAACCCAGCCTAAGAGAAAAAAACAAATGAAATCTCTTGTAATATAAGTTTTTGGACATACACTATAGTATTATGATATGATAGTATAGATATAATTGTTAATGCTTGTTTCTACCTTTCTACTTGTTGTTATGTATTTTATCCATGTTAAATCATGTAACAAAAACAGAATAGTTTTTTTTTAATAAAGATGGATTACTGTTGTTGTATACTAAAAGAAGTAAGTAAGAGTTGTCTCTCTTTTACTGATTTATATTCCTTTATATGCACTCAAGGTAATCATTTTAAACAAATAACTAATTATGATATAGCTTCATGGCAAGACATTGTCAGCAATAAACATATAAGGTTTTACTTCTAATGGACTGCTAAAAGGTCACTAAATTGAGTTAGAGTGAGAATATAAACCCAGTTCAGTTATAGTTCCTAGTTTAGTCCGTCATCAGTCCTATACTGCTGAATTTCAGATCACCTGTTTAGTTTTACCACTTTTCCATCCCATTACACTTGAGAGTAAATGTTGCGCCTTGATAGCATGTATGTACTTGCGATGCTTTACACTAAATTTTTGGCTTTGATAGCATTATGTACTTGTGAAATGTTAGGCCTTGAAAGCCTTATGTACTTTGACCCGATATTTTTTGTCTGTGATGCCTTCTTTTAAATTGTCTGTCTGGTGTATGTTGCCTAGCACTCAGCACAGTTCTTGTTTATACATGCTCTTTGTCTTGTCTGAAGCAGAACGCAAAAGTACAGTAGGTTAGAACCAACATGGATAAATTATAGATAGTAGAAGTGTATTCCTTAAAATAGCTTTCTTTTTGGCATATTTATTTGAGTTATTGTCTTCTGTGAATTTATATACTAAATTTTATTGTCTAGAGCATAGTACCTAAAAAAACATAAAACTTTAATATAACCTGCTGACAGTACTTGCCTGTTAACTGATTTCTTTTTGGAAATCTTTACAATTTTTGCACATTTTCAAGATAAAATTGGTAATTTTCAACAGTTTTGTCAAGTAGGTAATTAAAAGGCCTACATGCGACCTCTATTTTATGCTGGGAGTAAAAGTTCATGTGCCTGACAAATTTAGATGCATCAGCCTTGCATATTTTGTTTTAAGATATTGCGGCAAGAACATTTTATTACATGCCTGTATATAGAATAGAGAAGTTCAGGTTATTTGTCTGACAACTGCATTAGATAAAATCAATCAAAGTTGGTCTACTTGTACCAGGCAGGATTTTCTGTACAATAAAAATTATTTAATGTAAGACCTATTTTAATGGGTTTCCTTTAGATTATTCCAATTGCTGTATTTGAATTTAGTTTCTATAAAGTTTGTGCATTTCTGCAAGTTAGTACAACATGTCACTTTTTTGTTGCATTTCTGTTGTGTAAGGTTTAAATATTAAGATATTACTCTCTGTTGTGGTGATATAAAAATGGTACCTTTTTCATTAACAGTGTTGTATATGTGGTACCCCTTCCATACAATGTTAGTATATGTGGAACCTTTTCTGTTACAGTGTTAGTATATGTGGTACCTTTTCCATACAGTGTTAGTATATATGGTACCATTTCCATTACAGTATAAGTATATGTGGTACCTTTTCCATTACAGTATAAGTATATGTGGTACCATTTCCATTACAGTATAAGTATATCACTATATGTGGTACCTTTTCCATACAGCGTTAGTATAAGTGGTACAATTTCTGTTACAGTGTTAGTATATGTGATTCCTTTTCTGTTACAGTGTTAGAATATGTGGTACCATTTCTGTTACAGTGTTAGCATATGTGATTCCTTTTCTGTTACAGTGTTAGAATATGTGGTACCATTTCTGTTACAGTGTTAGAATATGTGGTACCTTTTCTATTACAGTGTTAGTATATGTGGTACCATTTCTGTTACATTGTTAGTATATGTGGTACCATTTCTGTAACAGTGTTAGTGTATGTGGTACCATTTCTGTAACAGTGTTAGTATATGTGGTACCATTTCTGTTACATTGTTAGTATATGTGGTACCTTTTCTGTTACAGTGTTAGTATATGTGGTACCATTACTGTTACAGTGTTAGTATATGTGGTACCATTACTGTTACAGTGTTGTATTTGTGGTACCTTTTCTGTTACAGTGTTAGTATATGTGGTACCTTTTCTGTTACAGTGTTAGTATATGTGGTACCATTACTGTTACAGTGTTAGTATATGTGGAACCATTACTGTTACAGTGTTGTATATGTTGTACCTTTTCTGTTACAGTGTTAGTATATTTGGTACCATTTCTGTCACAGTGTTAGTATATGTGGTACCATTTCTGTCACAGTGTTAGTATATGTGGTACCTTTTCTGTTACAGTGTTAGTATATAAGGTACCATTTCTGTTACAGTGTTAGTATATGTGGTACCATTTCTGTTACAGTGTTAGTATATGTGGTACCATTTCTGTTACAGTGTTAGTTTATGTAGTACCAATTTGGTTACAGACTGTTAGTATATGACTGGTACCATTTCCATTATTAAAGTGTTAGTATATATTAAACTACTTCTGTTACAGTGTTGATATACGTGGTACCATTTCTGTTTTGGTGTTAATATAATGTTCCCTAATCCTTTTGTGTCATTTCTTGTAAAAGTAATTGTGTTATGTTTTACTGTTGTTTTGTGTTAGAATTTGTGGTTATTTTTCATTGTGTGAGTTTATGTCATATTTTTTCTTTGCAAGAAGTCATGAATCAGATGGTTTACATGTCAAAGGTCTGTTCAACTAAATAAGGAACTAACAAAAGTCTGCTATTTTTCAGGGCTTATTATGTTTTGCTCATTTCATCACATGTATTTTCTTTCTTTCAGGCTGAATATTTTTAGTGTGTTTCCTTCCATATTTGGGAAAAAGGCAAGGGAATTTAATGAAAGGGTAGGTACATTCTTTGTCACATGTATTTCCTTGTTTTTATTTGTTAAGTGTTATGCATATAGGCTTAAAGCAGTCACTGATGTCAGAATGTTTGCCTGGAGGTACTGAAGTTATAGACAAATAACCTTACTTGTCCCCTCTATAGGGTAGCCAGGGATTAAATTTAAATCTGTATATTTAATTGTGCCTTCTGGTACATTTTTAGGTGCACATTTTAAAACACACCTTATAAGAATTGCCCTGAAATTGTTCACATATGTTGTTGTATACAAAATTTGTTAAGTATACATGAAAGATTAAAATGAGCCGCGTCACGACAAAACCAACATATTGGGTTTGCGACCAGCATGGATCCAGACCAGCCTGCGCATCCGCGCAGTCTGATCAGGATCCATGCTGTTCGCTTACAAACCCTATAACAAGTAGAGAAACTGATAGTGAACAGCATGGATCCTGATCAGTCTGCGCGGATGGGCAGGCTCGTCTGGATCCATGCTGGTCCAAAACCCATTATGTTGGTTTTGTCATAGCGTGGCTCATTTAATCTTTCATTTATTGTATTTCATCCAGGAATATCAGCTGTTTGACCAAGCCACTCATGAAATATAAAAGCACATGGTGTTTACTCATTAAACTTTCTAACTGTGACACAAACATTCATTTAATTTCCATTACTTGAAAGAGAGGCTGCTCATAATGCAATATTTATGAAAACACATTTTATTGTATGTTGATTTTTATTGTTGTTATTTCCCAGGTGAAAAAAGAAAAGATATCTGGAAATATGACTGGTGATGGAATGCAGAATGGTGGAACTTTGATAGTGGGGCAAGGTATACTGTAGTGGTTTATATATTTCTTTGAGCCTAATGTGTTGTTTTGTTTTCTGTCACTTGATTGTATTTTGAGGATATTAAAAAATTTATTTGCTCTGAGAAAAGGATAAGTGAAAATAATAATAAAAATCTCACTTTGGGCCTCAGTGGTCAAGTGGTTACAGAGTGACTCAGATGGGGGCCTCAGTGGTCAAGTGGTTACAGAGTGACTCACTGATGGGGGCCTCAGTGGTCAAGTGGTTACAGAGTGACTCAGATGGGGGCCACAGTGGTCAAGTGGTTACAGAGTGACTCACTGATGGGGGCCTCAGTGGTCAAGTGGTTACAGAATGACTCAAATGGGGGCCTCAGTGGTCAAGTGGTTACAGAGTGACTCAGATGGGGGCCTCAGTGGTCAAGTGGTTACAGAGTGACTCAGATGGGGGCCTCAGTGGTCAAGTGGTTACAGAGTGACTCAGATGGGGGCCTCAGTGGTCAAGTGGTTACAGAATGACTCAAATGGGGGCCTCAGTGGTCAAGTGGTTACAGAGTGACTCAGATGGGGGCCTCAGTGGTCAAGTGGTTACAGAATGACTCAAATGGGGGCCTCAGTGGTCAAGTGGTGACAGAATGACTCAGATGACCAGTTGGGACATGATATGAATGCTAAAGGGGGCCTCACTTGGTCTTTTCAACTTCAACCCAGTTCAACTGTTGAAATCAAATGTCATTTGCTGAAGTTACAGAATGACTAATCTCAGGCTCAAAGGGATAAAACTTAGATGGCTTCAATAAGTGCTTAACAAATCTCAAAAGCCTCGTGTTCAAGTGTTACATGAATGATCAAATAGGAGATTCCAGTGGTCAACATGTTTACAAAAGACTAAAGGAAGTTAAGTTTAAAAGACTCAGTGGTTCAAGTGGTGGTACAGAAATGACTTCAAAGGTCTCTGTGTGTCATATTCCGTTAATGACTCTAATGTTCGTTTTCTTTATGGCTCAAAAGGGAACTAGAGAGAACAATGGAAAAATGACCAAATGGGTCTGGTCGTGGTTTCAGAACTTCCAACATCAGTCCTCCGTAGTGTCAATTGGTGAAGGCAATCCTCTTAAACGAATGACTCTTGCCTTATTCAAGGGTGAAGACAACTTAAATGTGTCAGTGGTCAGTAAGGAGGACAATTTTGGCCCCGATGGTCAAAGTTTGCAGAATTAATGGGGCCTTTGTTCAGTTGGTTGACAAATATATCCTCAGTGGAAGTTTTGGATGAACTCATGCTCTCTGTTAAATACCAGGATGGCAGTATTTTGCTCAAACCTCAGTGGATGACAAAACCCTTAATGGTAGTGGTCAGTTAAAGGAAGGGCAGTTTTGTTGGCGACCAATACTTTACGAAAATTAAAGGGCCCTTTGTCGATTTTTAGTTTTCAACTTGTAGCACATGTAGTCCAAAAAATATTTGACCTAGAGTCATAAGATTGACAGAACAGTGGCTTGTGGGGGCATCCGTGTCCTATGGACACATTTCTAGTCTCAATCTAATATTCTAGTATGTGATCATTGTTAGGTCAGTGTTGAAAGATAAGCTGACATGAAGGTCTAAGATTTAAACAGAAACAAACAGCTGTTTATAAAGGTCAAGGTTACCTGAATACCCTGAAACATTAATCTAGCATTAAGGTCAAGGTCATTCAAAATTTGTAGTCAGGATTAAGGTCAATTAAATAATTTTCTTAAAATATGAATTCAAAGGTCATTTGTAACATTAAATGAGTACAAATTTATGAGGGTCACAATGATATCAAAGGTTTACAGTGTCAGATACTGACCTACAAGTCAGGTATGTAACTATATCAACTCACAGTTTTATTCTTAATACAAAGTTGAAAATGTCAATTTACGGAGAAATTTTTGTAGATTTGATATATAATGCTAAATATGTAAAATATACCAGCCTTTGATATTTTTCCAAAAGTCTTTATTTAATTATATAAAACATTAGATATTTTTGACATGATTATTAAATAAAACAGGCTTTTTACTCAAATTTTGAATTTTTCAATTGATTTGAAATGGAATATTTAAATGAATTAAAAGCTTCTTTAATAGCTTTTTGCTCAGTTTTATTTTTATATTACAAGCAAAGGTTTTGGTCTTATAAATTATTCCACCAATTTGTTTTCTCTAATTGAATGACTTACCTTTGCTGCAGCTTATATAACATATTCTCAATTTAACCATAAGGCATGTGATTGTAGCACATTTTACAGCTGATACAGATTCAAATTGTAGGAAATATTTTGATGTTTTGGGCTTTTTTTTCTGGAAAAAATTATCTTGACCATCACCCTTTAAAACTCATGATGGATTATCAAACTGATGTTAAATTCCTAACAAACAATAACCAAACTAATACTAGTATTCATTGATATCAAAATGAGAGAATGTCTCAATTTCAGAACATGTTGGATTTTTTTTGTTATTTTTGAAACAATGACCTTGAAAATTAATGACCTTTTAATTTCTCAGCTTGCACCACACATAATAAGAAAAAGCCAAGTGAAAACAATTGTTTAATAACATTAGAAACTTTTAGTTATCATATAAATTCATGAAGAAGGTGGAATTTTAAAGTTTTTTGGTTAATTTTTAAACAATGACCTTGAAATGATCTTGACCTTGACTTTTTAAACATCATGAAAGACCATTAAATTAATGTTCAGGTCCAAACAAAAAATAACAAAACCAATATTTATTGATATCAAAATGACAATATGCCTCAATTTGGACTTTATAAAATCTGGAAAAATATTATTTTGGCAGCCATCTTGGACGCCATCTTGGATTTCTCAGCTCGCACCACACATAGAAAAATTATGCCGGCAGTTTCAAATACTACAGACCTTGATGAACATTTTGGTGTATAACATGTTTTGTACCACTGCAACCTTAACTGAGCTACTTTTGAGCACATTGTCTCTACTATGATGGTTCCATGCATGACATCATTTTACATTACACATACCAAATTACAACAATATTATATCATATATCACATTGCATGTATCATTTTACATAAAATCTACAAAATTGCAACAATATATTATTTCATATATCACATTACATTTATTATATTACATTACATCTACCAGATCACAACAATAATATATCATATATCACATTACATTTATTATATTACATTACATCTACCAGATCACAACAATAATATATCATATATCACATTACATTTATTATATTACATTACATCTACCAGATTACAACATGTTTCACATCATATTAACTTTACATAATATATTAGATCACATTATATGTAGGGGCGTCCGTGGCCGAGTGGTTGAGGTCGTTGACTTCAAACCATTTGCCCCTCACCGCTGTGGGTTCGAATCCCTACAGGGACTTTGAATTCTTTCATGTGAGGAAGCTATCCAGCTAGCTTAGGGAACGATGGTGGTTCTACTCAGGTGCCTGTTCGTGTCTGAAATAATGCACGGAAGGGCACCTGTGGTCTTCCTCCACCAGTAAAGCTGGAACGTCGTGATATGACCTATACTGTGTCGATGTGACGTAAAATCCAAAACAAACAAACAAAAACATTACATGTATTGCACTATTACATTTGCTACATCATACCATGTTAATATCATATCACTTTTCATATATCATATTGTATATATCATACCATATTAGATATATAATAACTCAATTCATATATCATATTGCATATATCATATGACATAACATATATCACATTTCATATATCAAGTAATACAACATTACATATATCATACCACATTACATATATCATATTGTAAAACACATTACATCATATCTTATTAAACATATTACATTTTATATATCACATGACATCATATCAAATTACATTACACTCTATCATATCAATGATATCTCCTCATATCATTGTATATTTCTGTCTGAAGATTAGGAAATCTTCCCTTACAGTATTTTACTAGGAATTAACTGGTATTATACTGGGCATTATTGGAGAAAATTTCATGGAATAATCCTAAAGGCAAAACTGCAAATTCCTTGTTATGCTCCCCGAAAAATTTCGGGGGAGCATATAGTCGTCGGGTTGTCCGTCCTTCAGTCCGTCCGTCCGTACGTCCCAATTCGTGTCCGGCATTGAGACGACATGTCGTGCGCAACATTTGGGTCGCTACCTTGAAGGTCAAGGTCACAGCATGACCTTGCATCAAAATCGTGTCCGGCCCATAACTTCGTAATTTGAAGTCAGATTTTAAAATTATTTTACAGAAATGATCACAATATTGAGATGACGTGTCGCACGCAACCTTTGGGTTGCTACTTTGAAGGTCAAGGTCACAGCATGACCTTGCAGCAAAATTGCGTTCGGCCCATAACTTCATTATTTGAAGTCAGATTTTAAAAATATTTTACAGAAATGATCACAATATTGAGATGACGTGTCATGCGCAACATTTGTGGTCGCTATCTTGAAGGTCAAGGTCACAGCATGACCTTGCAGCAAAATGGCGTTCGGCCAGTAACTTCAATCCTTGAAGTCGGATTTAACAATTATTTCACAGGGATGATCACCATATTTAGGGCGCTACCTTGAAGGTCAAGGTCACAGCATGACCTTGCAGCAAAATCGTGGCTAGCCCATAACTTCCTTATTTGAAGTCTGATTTTACAACTATTTCACAGAAATGATCAACATATTGAAACAATGTGTCGTACACAACATTTGGGTTGTTTTTACACTTTGAACTTTGTCTGTGAAATAACTCTGACACTACATGAGGTATACCTTCCTGTGTCCAAAACCTATTGGGGGAGCATCACCTGGTTCAACCAGCTCTTGTTACTAACTGGTAGTAAAATTGGAATAACCTTGTTACTGAGAATCATTTTGAATGAGTGGCCAATGGTGAGAATCATTTTGAATGAGTGGCCAATGGTGAGAATCATTTTGAATGAGTGGCCAATGGTGAGAATCATTTTGAATGAGTGGCCAATGGTGAGAATCATTTTGAATGAGTGGCCAATGGTGAGAATCATTTTGAATGAGTGGCCAATGGTGAGAATCATTTTGAATGACTGGTCAATGGTGAGAATCATTTTGAATGACTGGCCAATGGTGGGAAATTTTGAATGAGTTACCGTTGGTGAAAATCATTTTGAATTAGTGGCCAATGGTGAGAATCATTTTGAATGAGTGGCCAATGATGGGAAATTTTGAATGAGTGGCCTAAGGTGAGAATCATTTTGAATGAGTGGTCAATGGTGAGAATCATTTTGAATGACTGGTCAATGGTAAGAATCATTTTGAATGACTGGCCAATGGTGGGAAATTTTGAATGAGTTACCGTTGGTGAAAATCATTTTGAATTAGTGGCCAATGGTGAGAATCATTTTGAATGAGTGACCGTTGGTGAGAATCATTTGGAATGAGTGGCCAATTGTGAGAATCATTTTGAATGACTGGCAAATGGTGAGAATCTTATGAATGACTGGCAAATGGTGAGAATCATTTTGAATGAGTGGTCAAAGGTGAGAATCATTTTGAGTATTTTTGGATATGTTTGTAATATCTATGATGTTTCAGAACAGACAGTTTCTTTTTCAACGGCTTGTATAGTTTACATACTGAAAAAAGGTTATTAGGTACAAATAAAGGGCATTTCAATTAAATTATATCCACCCCCCCTCCACCAACTTCACCTTCACACATAGGCACACACCAGTCCATATCCATAAAATTCTCTTTAGGTCTTTTTTTTTCTAATTAATTTTAAATATGTTTGAATTTTCTTTCTCCCACAAATTTGTTTTATATTTTATTTTCAATTTATTCATTTACAGCTCTCTTAACTATAGTATACAGATCCATGTCAAAATATATCATATAAAAAATTGTATCTATTTTATATTTAAACTGTTAACAGATGAGTTCTAACATTGTTGCATTCTTTTAGGGATGTTACTAGTTTTATAAATACATTTAGGTGGGTTTTCTTATTAATTTTAAATATATTTGAATTTTCTTTCTCCCACAAATTTGTTTAATATTTTATTTTGAATTTATTTCATCTACATTCTCTTAAATCTAGTGTACAGATTCATGTCAAAATATATCTTAGAAAAAATTGTATCTATTTAATACAAATGTATTTAAAATGTTAACAAATGAGTTCTAACACTGACGCATCTAATCAGGGATGGTACTAGGTTTAAAACATAGCAAGTAGTTAGAGGTTATCATGTACGGTAATGATTAAACAATACCAGTGTTAATTAAAGCAGTGTTTAGAATTTCTTAATTGTTAATTTAAAAGGGACTGCATTAGGATTTTTTTACATAACAGTCTTGTATTATGACAGTATAAAATGGCAATGCAGACAGTCCTATTTATTTGAGTAATGTTTTTCTCAAAGTATGGTTTTAATCAGCTAATTTTATATAAATATATTATTAACATTTAGTCAGTTTCTAGTGTACAGTTAACATTCTCTTGCTTCATAGTATGATAATGTTTCGAAGAAGTTCGGTTTTATGTCACACCAACACAGGTAGTAGAGGTCAGAATTGCAACTATCCAGCTTTACTAGTGGAGGGAGACATCAGGTGCCCCTCGATGCATTATTTCAGGTACCTGAGTAAAACCATTGACATGCCCTAACCTACTGTTAGCTGGATAGCTTCCTGACATGAAAGAATCAAAACTCCCCTGACTGGAACCCACAAAGGTGAGGGGTTTAAGTAACAATAACCTTAACCACTCAGCCTTGAATGCCCCTAGTACTATAATCTTTTATATTTTTTATACTAGCTTACTTGTATAGTACTTCTCAAGTTTGTTATCTGTGATCCAAGTTATAACAGGTGGTGTCATCATTGATGTTTAAATATTCAGGTAGCTTATAGACTGACTCCAAGGATTTCCTGTACTCTGTTTGAGTTTGAATAGACCTGTACAAAATTTTCAAATCAATCAGTTGATGTTACTAGGGTCATCCAGTGATGAATATGAAAAAGTTATTGAATAACCCGTTCAATTTTCCAGTTTAATTTAAATTTGAGGTTTAAGTGAATCAATCCTTCAATGTAAAACATTTTAATCCTGTTTGTGAAAAAATCCTTTTTCACAGTCATTTAGGATGCCTATAAATTTCTGTGTTTGTGATATAATAGTCATGTCCTTTAAAGGATTTCTATTATGTCTCTTCACACTACCTGATATAATACAAGTGGTGGCATGGCTGAGTGGTTAACGCGTTGAACTAGTAATCTAATGATTGCTAGCCGCATGGGTTCAAACCCCCTCAGGGGCAAGTCGTTGTTTCCTTGAGATAACTTCCTACACAATGGAACTAAAATAAATTCTGTATAAACTAAAGGATCACTAGAGGTTGTTTGACACAGGTAAAGCTGGAAAGTCACCGTTTGACCTTACTTTGTTGGTGTGATTTTAAATCCACCACAACAAACAAACAAACAATGTCTCTTCATAAATCATATTATCACACAAACCGCGGCACAGGACTGTAATAAAGACATTTAATAAAAAACGATATTACACTTGTGTAATAACACTTTGATGTGACGTCATTTGCGCTATATAATATTTAGTGTCATAAAGAATGCAAGAAAACTTTGAGGTATTGTAAGAGTCATAGACAAAGTTATTTCTCAATACCTCAAAGTTTTCATGCATTCTTTATGACACAACATCTTGATATTTTTACATTTTTGTGATAATTCTTTACTGGTTCTACCTACATATTAGGTTTAAGTTGGTCATGATTATTTTGTTAAAGTAGATACAAGTGGGAGTTAGAACTTACCTGAATCCCCCCCCATGATCCTATTTCATAATAAATAAAAAAAATCCATTTTATGAATATTATTTGATGCTATTACAACAGAACTATTACAATTTTTTTTACAAATTTTAAAGTTGCCCCAAGAGGACTTGAATTAATTCCCAACACTTCAAAAGTTATGTTAACAATATTTAAATGGAGCTATTTACATACAAGTATAATTATGAAGCTATTAATACAGAACTGGTTCTTTTTTGTAATCATTTCCTCATTTCTCTTTAGTTTGTTTTATATTTTAGAAAGATAGATTCGAAAAACGTATATACATATACTACAGGCCTTTACCAGAATTTGTATTACTTTGGTATTTCAGGTGGTAAACTCTTGCTAAGTTTCCGTCAGGAGAATGCACCTGACCATGTTGAGAACGAAGATGTTTTAAAAGCCCTCGGTTTACCGGTTGATACCGGTTCCGGTGGAGAGACAGGTGAGGGAACCGGAGATGGAGCCACTGGTGGGGCAGGAGGTAGTGACGAGAAACCGCCAAATGTTGTGTGTGAGGAGGATGTGTGTAGAAAAGTTTAAACTTATGTTAACTTTGTAACAATTGTGTAGAGATGTATGATATAAAGATACACGTATGTATGTGTCAGATGTATAGTTATATACGTGAGATATTTGAAGATATATATGAGATATATTATGTCTAATATATTATGATTTTTGGTAATATTGTTTTAAGCGGCCTACAGCTTTTATGTTTTTGTTGGACAAACAATTTTGTGCTGTTAAAAAGTAATTAAGATATTTCAGTAATATGACCTGGGAAAAGAGTATCATACCTGATAAGCCTTTTTCAAAACAGAGCCCAAATAGCTATTTATAGCATGCAGTGACATTTATTTCTAAAAATAGAAAGTTGGGAAAATAATTATCCACTTTACGAATTTACATATAGACAGCAGACCGGTAGATTAGAGGTATCGAGGGGTTGCCATATTGTTTATGTTTTTTAGTGATGACAATTTTCATTTTATGCCTTAATTGTTTTTATTTTGACAATTATATTACAAGATTTATCTTAAAATAACATATTCAACTTTTAGAAAAGCTATTAAAGGCCGCTTTAATGCTTTATGTTAATAACACAACATCCTAGAGTTAATAGTTAAAATCCATGTTTTGTTGTTATGAAATTATTTTCTTTTGAGAAATGGATGGTCAGTTATTATTAAGGGCATTGAAATGTTTAGGTGCTTTATTTAACAGTAATTTATTACCATATAAATATGATATATTGAACTATCACTGTGTTTAGCCATTAACCTAATGTGATGTTAAATTTCTCAATTTAGATTATAATTATATTACCACACAATGACTAAACCCACCTTCCTGCAAGACACACTGAGCCAACAGTTTACCAACATTTCTGTAAGGTCCTCTATGATATTTGTATTAAATTTTCATAAAAAATCTAAAACTGTAATATCTGAACTTGTTCTATCTGAACTTGTTCTATTTAGAAGAAATTGTTTCATCAAGTGCACAAATTAAGTGATTCAATCAAGCCATTGGCATTACTGTCATATTAAATATACATGTAGGTCATGGGTTGTATACAGAGTTTTAAGAAATTAATTTTCGAGCAAATGAAGTGATGTGAGAAAATAAGTTTCTTCAAAATTCTGTAATTATATAACTTATAACCGACTAACAGTTAGCTCCGCCCATTCAAATCCAGTGCATTATATTAATAGGCGGTGTCCATTAAATCGGCTCATTTAACACTGATAAATTGCAGGTCGTATAAGAATAGATAAAATAGTATGTTTTTTGTTGGGCTTTCAGTTATTAAGTTGGAGATGAATATATTTGTAATATTTGAAGAAGACTGAGATTTGGTATTATTAATATTTTATTGGTGCTAAAATATGATTGAAGAGGTGGTTTGAACAAAATACACAGAAATAACATGGAAAAAAAAAGAGAAACCATTCAGCCATCTTGTGTACATTAATGTATTCTGAAATTTCTGATGTGTTCCATTAATGTGCAACACGTTAGGACAATTTTTATTGCAGTTGTTGAAGTCATTGGGTTAAATTTCTTAATAATCGGTTAAATGGAAAATCTTCAGTATCTATGTCAGCATCGTGTAAATATTCAAATCACTTTATTATCAGGCACCTAGAAAATAACGACAGTGTACATTAAAAATGTTTAATTATGTGTGATATTAACACGTACTTTACTGCGTTTATTACACATGAATTATTCTTCTTCTTATAATTTGAAATTCCAGATGTCCCTCGGTAATTTTGTAAAAGCAAAAGATTTTATAATCTCAACTTATGAGGATGCTCTGGAGGACTAAGGTATCTGTAAAGTTAGAACATTGTCATTCTGATACAAGTTTAAAGTCTTGACGTTTTTTCGTATTATGGGAGGCATTATTTTCTTGAAATAAATGAACAGATTATTTCTAGAACTGCATGGTTATCTGTTCAAAGAAAGGCGATAATGCCAGGCGTATTCCAAAAACATAGAAACAACCTTTACTATTCCAAATATCTTAAATTCACTTGTTGGTCTTTTTATCTGGACAAAACCTTTCATAACTTTTTTTTTTAGCGCACATTTTGAAAATAATTACTGACTGAAATAGTGGACAGTGCAGACCTTGATCAGACGGCACAGATATGTCAGCTAATGTTGGTCTGTACTGGTAGCATGGTGGATATTCTGTTGCTGACAAAAAATGATGTTAAGCTGATTGTTTGTTGGGAAAGGTTAGTGTGTGCAACTAAAGTGCTCCTAATGAAATCATTATAAACTTTGTGAGAGAATTGCGTATGTAGGGAAATTTGATAAGAATGACAATTTGAAAGTCAATGTTTCTATTTTGTACTGTGGGGGATGGGGGAATTATAACTATACGAAAGTCTGGAAAGATTTTATTTTGGATTTTAATGATCAGTTTGAAAAGGTTTAATAAAGTGTTATCATATATTTTCAGAAATATTTTTTTTCTTTAAGTTTCCATCAAAGGGTTAATTCAGAAAATGATGAATGAATGATTTTTATGAAGATAAAGATATAATATAATAATGTCCTTAAGGTATTTTAATCTTCAGACAATTGCTTTATAGTTGTATGGAAATAATGATTGAAATTTTTTTTAACCTATATTTTCCCTAGTCTGTATAAATTTCAAAGAAACACAGTCTGTCAGTGGATGTTTTGTGGTACTTGTTTGATTCGCAAGTTAAGTAGGTCAATAACACAAGTAAATATTGTTAGGAAAACATCCATGTTTCCTGTCCAGTGTTAGGAAAACTGACTAATGTAAGGAAAACTTGCATTAATGAGCCGCGTACACAACAAAATCAACATAATGGGTTTGTGACCAGCATGGATCCAGACCAGTCTGCGCAGTCTGATCAGGATCCATGCTGTTCGCTATCAGTTTTGCTACTTGTAATAGGGTTGGTAAGCGAACAGCATGGATCCTGATCAGACTGTGCGGATGCGCAGGCTGGTCTGGATCCATGCTGGTCGCAAAGCCATTATGTTGGTTTTGTCGTGACGCGGCACAGTTGTGGTTTCTGACCAAACTGATTCTTGATACCCAATAAACTGACAATAAAAAGTTGTGAATTCAAAGCAAGGCAAACTAATTACATAAGACCAGTAGGAAAATGGTTAATACACATATTATATATGAATACTTTTTGTTATGATATTGAGAAAATTAAGAAGTCAATTATCAAAAATGCTTAAATGATAATTAATTATATTATTATGTATTAATCAATTTGTAAGCTGTTAACATTGGTAATCTCTATATCAAAATTGCTAAATAGCTTTTTATTCTTGAATAGAAATTGATAATTTTCATTGTTGATATGATGTAGTAAACATTTAATGAGTGAATTTGTTGAAAGATTTATTCAAGACAACCAGCTGCAGGATGATTGTCAGCCCTCATTCTGATTTAAAGACACATTATGCCTCAGAAATCCATATATTTTCAAGTTCTTTAGAAATGTCAAACATGTGTTTAATAAAGTTTTAAAAATGAATTTAGAGCATATTAGATGTTAAACAACTGAAGAAGTTGCGTTAAGTGAGCAGTAATATGTGGTAAAGCTAGCAAAATGTCAACCTGGTGTAGTATTTTGACTTCTGTACAAAATACTCAATTCTTTATAATTATACCAATTGCTAACAGAACAAAAGAAGTAAAACATAGTTCATCTGTGTGGCAAATGAGTTTTTTGGGTTGTTTTTTTCTGTGTGTGATATTTTCAAACTGTTACAAGATACCAAAAATAAAAAGTTTTTGAGAATTTAAAATTTAGCATTCTGGGATTAATAAGTAACATGCCCTTGTCACTGGTATAGAGCTAGGTTAGCCTATACATCCGTGCAGTCCAACCAGGCTCTATACTGTTGATAGCTCAATATGTTGTACCTTGATATTGAAATCCTTTAAACTCTAAATGGAATAATCCAAACTCAAAGTTACAGAAATTTAGGAGGTAAAATGATTTCAGTATCTCATTTAAAGATGATTGTATGACATGAAGGACCAATTTTATTATGATATTTCCTTGTATATTTGCAATGCTTTTTGTACTTAATATTTAATACTGAAGTAGAAAATTGAATTTTTTATACATATATATGTTTATGATAAACACTTCATGTGTACTCATAAGTTAACAATTTTTTCACCGATTTATGAACTTTGTCTTAGTAAATGTGCATTATGAAATCAGGTTTTGTAACCATTTATGGTAAAACCTGATTGATCTACCATTTATTTTGGTTGCCATTGGAGACAAGTTCATTTTTCAGTTTTAAATTGTTCATCTTAAGTGTTCAAAACAGGTTTTATTACTTATTGAAAATAAAATTTAAAATCATTGTTTGTAGTGTTGAATTTCTATTTTTTTATTGCATCCACCAAAGTAACATTGTGAAATGTTTAACAGCTGTTTTTAGCTTATCTGAGCACAAAGTGCTCAAGGGTGAGCTTTTCTGTGTTCGTAGTGTGTCTTCTTTTTATGATGTTGATTTTGTCATGCGCAACACCTGCATCCCTACCCCCAGGTCAAGGTCACACTTAGAGGTAAAAAAATTAACATAGTCTGTTAAAGGGTATATTTTGTGTCCGGTCTAGAACTTCTTCATAAGTCAAGGGATTTTGAAATAACTTTGCACAAATAGTCACAATAATAAGACAATATGTCAAGTACAATACCTGCACTCCTACCTCCAAGGTCAAGGTCACACTTAGAGGTCAAATGTTAACAGAATCTGTTATATGGTATATTTTGTGTCTGTCCATAACTTCTTCATAGATCAAGGGATTTTGAAAACACTTGGCACAAATAGCAACAATGATAAGATGATATATCATGCATAACACCTGTGTCCCTACCTCCAAGGTCAAGGTCACACTTAGAGATAGTCTGTTATAGGGTATATTTTGTGTCCAGTTCATAACTTTTTCATAGATCAAGGGATTTTTAAATACTATGCATGGGTCCTAACCTCCAAGGTCACACTTAGAGGTCAAAGATTAACATAGTCTGTTATAGGGTATATTTTATGTCCGATCTATAACTTCTTCATAGTTCAAGGGATTTTGAAAATACTTTGCATAAATAGTTACAATAATAAGACGATTATAATGTCATGCACAACACCTGCACCCCTACCTCCAAGGTCAAGGTCACACTTAGAGGTCAAACCTTAACATGATAGATTTTTAAATTCAGTGTTTCATTTTACTTCTTTAATAAATTTATTGTTGCATTTGCAGATCTAGCATTGATCATAATTTTTGGACTGAAAGTCCTGTAGTCCATACCTCAATCTTTTGAAATAGCACAATTTTAAGCTTCATATAAAACTTCCCTGAGGCGGAGGACGTTGGTAACTCTGTTACAAATTCTTGTTTTTAAAACAATTCTCTAAATCTACAAGAACTAAAGCTTAGTTTCCATAGCAACCAGAGACTTATTGCAGACTGTAAAGTTTCATAGCAACTAGTGACTTCCATCGGAAATATTTACTTGCCATAGCAACAAGTGAATTTACCATTGAATTTCATAGCAGGCACTGACTTCCAAGGAAACCATTTGTTTTGTATAGCAACCACTGAATTCTTATGTAACTATTGTATTCCTTAGCGATAGCAAACAGTAATGTTTTTACATGTGCCCTTTTTCAGATACAAATATGAAATTTGTAATATCAGTTTAAGATAAGATTTTATATCTGCTTTCTTTTAAAGTTTTAAATATTACTTGTTCCTTGTCATGGAGAGTATTTATAGTCAGGTGAGCAATATTAGTTTGGTGAGCGATATTCGTTTTATTCATAAAGGTTATTTTTGTGAGAGCATTTTTGTCAAGCCCAATTTTGGTGTATAGTGTTTCCATCTGTCCGCACTACAGAATAGGGATTGGGGTTCATCTAATTGTAAAGAGAACAGTAGAGTAACAATAGAGGAAGGGGCCAATGACCCTCTATTAAACAAAAGAAATGGCCCTTTATCTGGATTTGGTTGTGCGTCCGACCAATTTTATCCGGTCTTAGAGGGTATTCTGGTTTTCTTACTTATGGAATGAACTCTATTGCTCTCTTTTGTTGTTTACAGTTAGGTGGTCTGCTGTTTACTTTCAACAGTGCCGATGGACAGGCAACACTACACCATAATATGTCCTGAAGGTCTTTGGGTGTAGTAAAATAGATTTTTACACCTTTGCTCATGCATCATTACTTATGGACTGATGCAACATTTTGTTGCAGGTGATAATGAGACATTGTGGGGTAAATGGTGATAATGAGATTGTGTGTGCAATTGTGATAATTTAAGAAAGGTGATTACGACACTTTGTGGGCAATGATGATAATTTGAGGTTTTTGGCAAATGGTGATAAGGAGACACTTTGGATTGTGGTGATATGTGACACTGTGGGCAAGTGTGAAGTGGTGATAATACAATATTTTGGCTGATGTTGATAATGAAATGTGGGCAATGGTGATAATGAGACATTTTGGGCAATGTTTATAAGAAATTTTGTACAATGGTGATAATGATATGTGGGCAATTGTGATAATGAGATGTGGGCAATGGTGATAATGAGCTGTTGGCAATGGTGATAATGATATGTGGGCAATTGTGATAATGAGATGTGGGCAATGGTGATAATGAGCTGTTGGCAATGGTGATAATGAGCTGTTGGCAATGGTGATAATGAGCTGTTGGCAATGGTGATAATGAGCTGTTGGCAATGGTGATAATGATATGTGGGCAATGGTGATAATGAGCTGTTGGCAATGGTGATAATGAGCTGTGGGCAATGGTGATAATGAGCTGTTGGCAATGGTGATAATGAGCTGTGGGCAATGGTGATAATGAGCTGTTGGCAATGGTGATAATGAGCTGTTGGCAATGGTGATAATGAGCTGTGGGCAATGGTGATAATGAATGGTGGGCAATGGTGATAATGAATGGTGGGCAATGGTGATAATGAGATATGGAAAATGGTGTTTTGGGTGATTATGATAAAGTTTTCCGTTTAATATTAAGAACAAACAAATAAATGCCTACATACTTTTATTTCATATCATTTTCTCATTGTCAAAATTTGCAGAAAAAAAGTGAAAAAAATGTTTTATGCATTAGTATCACATTTTCCTCATTTGCATACAAAAAATTTCTTCTTTTTTAACTTTTCTGTATCAAAACATTGGATTCCACGAACATTATTTTTTTTATAAAAAGACATTAAATAAATTTGGAGTTGGTTACCAACTGTTATTCATTGAACATATATATTTTATTGTTATAGTTTGTATGACCTATAAAGCACAAATACAGAAATCTCATGTTGACTGAAAAAAACTTTTTCACCATTGGTTAAAATTTCAGAATACACATTACAAAGGGAGAAAACCTTAATACAATTGGTTGAAATTTGAATGAGCCCATTAAAATGCAGAAAGATAAATCTACTCAATACATTTGATTGGCTTTTAAGGTTAGGTATGAAAACTTTTATTCTTTGTTGACAGTTAAAACTTATATTTCCTTTGTTTCCGTAAAAAGAGTTTCAAGTTTCACTCTCAAGATAATTTACATCAAATATATTGAGTCAGATACAATACGTTAAGCTTCTTCTTAGATGAATTTGCTCTTGAAATTAAAATATTTCAACAAGAGCTCAGATCTTCAGTTACACAGGGGCTTACATACCAACACATGGAAGTATTTACATGGTAAAAGATTTAATAAGATATAACCAAAGTGATTCTTTCCATCTTTTTGGTGATTCTATAGTTATGCCTTATAGGTGTATACTTCACAATTACCAATCTATTCGAAAATACAACATCAGAGTGTAACAACAATTTTTTTTCTTTTCTTCAAAAATCGATTTTGAAAATATAAGGTTTTTTTCTTTTTAAAAATTTATGCAAAACAATTACCTAACAGGATAAACTTATGCAAAACAATTACCTAACAGGATATGAGATCCAAATCTATATATAAACAACCATTTCAACGTCCTTTCTGCGACATAATTATCAGACCGTGCAATAGGCATTTTTATTTGTTAAAAAAAAGCGACAAGGATTTGCAAGAGAAAAGAAATACAGCATTACTCGTACAACAAAAATAATTTATTCCTGGGTCATTAAAACGAAATGATTACTGATATATTATTTAATTATCTTTATAATTCTCTTCAGGTTTAAATGATAGAACATATTCTTAAATAGGGACGTTCTCTATTCTAATCAAGTATCATTTTTTGTTCGATTCATCTTAGAACAATTCTATTAAAAATCTTAGCACTAAGATGTTCAATAAAAAAGAAAATATTGATATTAAAGACATCAAAATAGCTACAGGATTGAAAACTGTGTTTATTTCGATAAAATGATCTGTAAGCAAGTAAAAAATATCAAGATTTGAAAAATCTGAATAAGAATCCCCCATACCAAACAGAAATAAAAAAGTTTAGAAAGTCCTTAAGTAAAGATTAAAATCTGAATAAAAGTGTTTAAAAGAAACTTATATCATGGTATTTTTTGTCACAGTGAAAGTGTCGCATTTGAAACTTTAATTTCGGTGTCACATTGAAACCTTGATCATTGTGCCACATTTGAAACCTTGATAATTGTGTTACATTGCAACCTTAATAATTGTGCCAAATTTGAAACCTTGATAATTGTGGCACATTTAAAACCTTGATAATTTTGTAACATTGCAACCTTGATAATTGTGCCAAATTTGAAACCTTGATAATTGTGGCACATTTGAAACCTTGATTATTGTGTCACACTAGAACCTTGATAATTGTGGCACATTTGAAACCTTGATAATTGTGGCACATTTGAAACCTTGATTATTGTGTCACACTAGAACCTTGATAATTGTGGCACATTTGAAACCTTGATAATTGTGATAACAGTGTTGTATTGAATCCTGACATCATAGTTATATATAATATGTACAAAAGAAAATATTTATGCTACAAGTTTTAGAATTACAGTAAAATGACCTCAGTTCCTTTAAGTTTCATAATTAATTTTATTTCTCTTGCAAATTTTTGCCATGAAACATATATAGCAAAAGCACCACCAACTGTAAAATTATAAATGTGTTGAGTAACAACCAATCAAAAACAAGAATGCCATTTTCCTTGGAAATATTCATAAAACTGCTGCTCAAAGTTCTGGAAATAGTCATGCTTGGGGTATGGGACACTAAATATTGAATTTATTTATGAAATAAATGAAATTTATTTGAAAATGTTGCAAAATCTAACTGCAATATGAACTAGTTATTGTTGCTAAATATAACTATATAGCTGAAAGCTGCAATACAGAAAGAAATGTTACAGAATGTAAAAAGAAACTTAAAGCAACCTGTCACATTTATTTCATGCTAAATATCTTAAATGGACTTGTTTTTCCTTCAAACTAGACACAACCTTTTATCATTTTTGGTAAACTTTCAAAATAGTTACTGACTGAATAGCAAACAGTGCAGACCATTATCAAATGGCGAAGATGTGCCAGCTGATGTTGGTCTGCATTTGTCACATGGGTTTTATTAGTTGTATCAAGCATGTAAATTTAACATTAATAAGTGTAGTAACTAAACCTTTAAGCTGCTGGAACAAACCAACAGCAATTAGCCATTTACCACCAGTTTAGCCAACAGTATAGAGACCACCAGTATAGACACAGGTCAGTCTGATCAACTAATTGCTATGTAATATTGTTGGTGATTCTTTTTTTTTTGTATTTTATAATTATTTCTCTTAACATCCCTTTTAATAGATATAAATATTCATCTTTTCTTTTCTTATTTTATGAAAAAGCTACACAAAACAATAAATTAAATCATTAAATAGATCTATCTTCTTTGTCTTTTACGTCAACAAAGACAGAATTCTACTTTTCCATTAGAATGAAAGCCCACTAGGGGATATGTTGTCAAATATGAATCAAGATTTAAAAATATCCTATTACTAAGCAGTTCTTTCTTCTCTCTTTCTGAAAATAAAAAATCTAATTTAAGAGCATTTTATTGCATAAAAATGGCAACTCATCAGTTAAAATTGGCTACATTACCAGGGTGAAAATGGCAATTGCATAATCGTTATGTATTATACAGTTAATTTATTTGTTTAACCCTATGAATGTCTCTAATAATAATTACATCAGTATATACCAGTACTGCTCATTGACAGTCAGGGATGATTACTTCAGTCTGTGCCAGCACTATACATTGACAGTCAGGGATGATTACTTCAGTCTGTGCCAGCACTATACATTGACAGTCAGGGATAATAACTTCAGTCTATACCAGTACTGTTCATTGACAGTCAGGGATGATTACTTCAGTCTGTGCCAGCACTATACATTGACAGTCAGGGATGATTACTTCAGTCTGTGCCAGCACTAAACATTGACAGTCAGTGATAATTATCTTCAGTCTGTGCCAGCACTATACATTGACAGTCAGGGATGATTACTTCAGTCTGTGCCAGCACTATACATTGACAGTCAGGGATAATTACTTCAGTCTGTGCCAGCACTATACATTGACAGTCAGGGATAATTACTTCAGTCTGTGCCAGCACTATACATTGACAGTCAGGGATAATTACTTCAGTCTATACCAGCACTATACATTGACAGTCAGTGATAATTACTTCAGTCTATACCAGCACTATATATTGACAGTCAGGGAAAATTACTTCAGTCTATACCAGTACTGTTCATTGACAGTCAGGGATAATTACTTCAGTCTGCGCCAGCACTATATATTGACAGTCAGGGATAATTACTTCAGTCTATACCAGTACTATACAGTGACAGTCAGGGAAAATTACTTCAGTCTGCGCCAGCACTATACATTGACAGTCAGGAATAATTACTTCAGTCTATACCAGCACTACATATTGACAGTCAGGGATAATTACTTCAGTCTGCGCCAGCACTATACATTGACAGTCAGGAATAATTACTTCAGTCTATACCAGCACTATATATTGACAGTCAGTGATAATTACTTCAGTCTATACCAGTACTGTTCATTGACAGCTAGTGATAATTACTTCAGTCTATACCAGCACTATATATTGACAGTCAGGGATAATTACTTCAGTCTATACCAGTACTATACATTGCCAGTCAGGGATAATTACTTCAGTCTATACCAGTACTGTTCATTGACAGTCAGTGATAATTACTTCAGTCTGTGCCAGCACTAAACATTGACAGTCAGGGATAATTACTTAAGTCTGTGCCAGTACTATACATTGACAGTAAGGGATAATTACTTCAGTCTGTACCAGCACTGTTCATTGACAGTCAGGGATAATTACTTCAGTCTGTACCAGCACTGTTCATTGACAGTCAGGGATAATTACTTCAGTCTGTGCCAGAACTTTACATTGACAGTTAGTGATAATTACTTAAGTCTGTGCCAGCACTATAAATTGACAGCCAGTGATAATTACTACAGTATGTGCCAGAACTATACATTGATAGTCAGGGATAATTACTTCAGTCTGTGCCAGCACTAAACATTGACAGTCAGGGATAATTACTTGAGTCTGTGCCAGCACTATACATTGACAGTCAGGGATAATTACTTCAGTCTATACCAGCACTATACATTGACAGTCAGGGATAATTACTTCAATCTATACCAGCACTATACATTGACAGTCAGGGATAATTACTTCAATCTATACCAGCACTATACATTGACAGTCAGGGATAATTACTTCAATCTATACCAGCACTATACATTGACAGTCAGGGATAATTACTTCAGTCTATACCAGCACTATACATTGGCAGTCAGGGATAATTACTTCAGTCTGTACCAGTACTATACATTGACAGTCAGGGATAATTACTTCAGTTTACACCAGTACTATACAATTGACAGTCAGTGATTATTACTTCAATCTATACCAGCACTATACATTGACAGTCAGGGATAATTACTTCAGTTTACACCAGCACTATACATTGACAGATTACAATGTATACTATAATACCCTCTGACCAATCTGTTTACTGGTGGCTCCCGAGATAATTAAAGCATTTCAATATTAATACCCTTCATACTTATAATTTAGACAAGTCCAATTAAGATATTAAGCATGTATGAAATCTGTTATCATAATATCATTAAGAGATTATTTCCTCCATTTTATAACAAGTTTATAAATTTTACCCAGTCCAAATCATAAACAAAAGATACAATTTCTTCTTGAAAGTGACAAAACTATAACATTCTGGTCACATAATATACATAAATAAAATTCATAATAATCAAGAACTAAGTAAGTATTTTAAAACAAACATGAAAAAGTATTGCTGAAAGGGTGTCAATAATGCCTGCAAATCGAAAGTTCAAACAAAATATCAAACAAGACTGGCCATTGGTCACAGTGGAGCACCTTAAAACAAAACCAAGAGTAAAAGATAGAAACAACTTAATTGTTACTAATAAGCATGTTTTAAAGTCACTTATTTACAAAGAGAGCGTTTTTAAAGTGAGTTGGTCCATTACCTGTACGAAATTTTCTGCACGGAAATGAGGCGGAATTCAATGGCAGATTCCGCCCAGAAATTTAAATTCTCCCCCAAATATACAAGTGTTAAACCATTTGCTTTTGGCACGGATTCCGGCCGGATTCCAGGCGGAAACGGGACGGATTCTGGGCGGAATTGGGACGAAATATGCAAATGAGTTGGGGCGGAATTTTGAAGCGGAATCTTGGGGCGGAATTTTGAAGCGGAATCTTGGGGCGGAATTTTGAAGCGGAATCTCGGGGCGGAATTTCGGAACGGAATTTTGGAACGGAATTGTCAAACAAAATTCTGGGCGGAATTCTGGGACAGAATTCATGGGGGCGGAATTTTTATGAGTTTAACATGATCACATTTTTTTGGGATAAAATTATCAATAATGTATCACATTAAATTTTCTTTCACAAAATTTAATACATATCCTTTAGTCCAAATACAGAATAGAATACCATACATTCACTATAACACAAACAGTTTTTTTCCACCTGCAGGTTTTGGTAGGTACTGGTTTTCTTAGAATCCAACACTTTGTTTTTTTGCATATTTTTTGCTTAGAGTGTTTCAATCATAAATTTGTTTCAAATGTTTCTGATTATTTAAATTACTATTTCTTTAATTGATGTCTGTTTTAAGTCCACTGCCTGTGTTTCCAAGAACTTCTTGTGGTTGTGCTCACCTTTAATAATAAAATTAATAATTAATTAAACAAAAATGTAGTAATGAATTATGTTTGATTGCATAATTATATGCAGTTATATTTCATATTTTTTGATAATATCATATTTTATGTTTCAACAGTATTAAATATTAACAGTGCTTATGAATATTCAAAAATACTAAAGCTTACGCAGTATCTTATTTCAGTGCACAAGTGTTTAAGAATTGCTCTGTATAAGAATTAATTAACTGCTTTATTTGTGACACTATTTATTACTGATTATGTATTTTTTCAAAGAAAGATGTTGAATAGTAAAGTATTGAGATTTAAAAATATACCTTTTCAGGATTAATACTGCACATCTTTATTGAAACACCTTGCATCTCACAGTCAGCACTTAACTCCCAGTCTGAAAATATGAGTGTAAAATGTAATTTTAGATTGTTCCATTGGAAACACAACACATACATGTAAAATATTAAATGATTATGATGACCCTGTTCAGCTGTACAAAACTCCTGAATTTGTACCATTTATTCCCATTTAATCAAATTGACTTAATTTGTTTAATTTCCAGGAAATGAAAAAGAATCTACTACATGCTATTAATTTTATACAATACACACAATCATTATAATAGAATCATTGAATAACTTATATTTTACAGTCATTAAACATGTAATAAAGATTTAAAACAATTATCAGAAAAAAACAAATGTATGAAGTTGAATATATAAAAACAACATTGACCTCTTGTTACAAATTTTAGTTTGCTACCATTGATAGTTTGATATAAAACTTGTTTCAGCATTAATGTAACTAAAGGTTTATAATTACCTGTCAGATTATGTTGTTCATCTCCTTGTCCCATGTTTTCACACTTATTTATCATACCATTAATAATAAAACACTTTGAGATCTTAAACAAAAGTATATCTCCAAAATTGTTAAAATATCAAGTAAATCCTCTGTTATTTGCACTCTTTTTTGCTGACCCAGATATCTTAGAATTCAAAATTCACAACTGTATAACTGCATGGACAGGTCAATCATTATGTAAAACAGGGTTAATTTACTCATCATCTCAACCTCCATTCATTGAATGTAACAAAAATTCAAGTAACAAATAGATATATATATATAAGATTTTAAAATCATTACATATTTCTGAACAAAAAAAAATTGCAATGTCCTAGACAAATTCTGCATATGAAATTTATAATGTTATCTCTCCCCAAAATAATTCAATGGAACAGCCTGATCTGTTGGAATGACCAGTGGAGTAAATTAGTCATGCAAAGAGTTTAAGATGGTGGGAAACTGCTGGTCAGTTGAGTTTTATCAGAGCTCTGATCTGTGTAGTGTAAAATCTCAGTGTGTAATATATTGTAGTATTTATTTACCTAAATGAAAGCAATTATTGGGCATATTGGCTGATCAATTCTATATAGATGAAAAGGGCATAATATATGAGATTATTTCATGCACTGTTTTTGTTTTGTTTTTGTTTATTTTTTTATAACAAAATCATGATTTCTTAGAGTTTAAAATGGCAAGCACACTATCTTGTCCTGTGGCTGTCCTGATACTCAAATTTAAACAGCATTCTTATTTCAATGTTGCTTTTTATAAACTTAAGCATTTTGGAGGTGAATGTTTTCAAGTTCTACACTAAGATTATTACAGTTGTTTTTCAGTACAAAAAAGATTTGCTAAATTAGTCTGACAATATATCATTTGCCACAATATTTAAAAACATTGTTTAGGCATATTTTAATGTCTAAAAAAATAACCCTATTTAATTATTCTAAAAATTCACCTGTAATTATTGGTCAAGTATCAATTGTTTCAACAAAAATAATAAGTACAGTTGGTAAAATTTCAATGTCTGCAAGTGCAAAAACAAGAGTTAATTACAATTATGATTTAGACATCTTATATGTGAAATTCTGTTCAAGAAAAATGTTTAAGTATAGAATTCCGCCCATAGTGAAGACCATTCCTTCCCAAGAAAATTTCAAAGTTGAAAATTCTGTCCAAGATGAAATGTTTAAGTATAAATTCTGCTCCAAATAAAATTCCAGCCGGAATTTTTCTAGTTTTCCGCCCAGAAAAGTGAACAAAATATTTTTCTTGTGAGACGGAATGACACGGAATTTGCGTTTCCGTTCCTGGTCCGCCCAGAAATCACTGATTCCGTGTCAATTCCGTGCCAATTCCGCCCAGAATCCGTGTCAAAATTTCGTACAGGTTATGGAAGGTCCGTAACTCCACAAATAATGGTGTTAATTTCATTTCATACAGTATGTGATAATAAACCACGAAATAACTTCATTTATAATACTGCACGTTTGTAACGGCGCTTTTCAATGGATAATCGTGACGTTTATATAGTTTTAAACTGTTAAAAATCTATAAAACTAATAGTATACATGGATGGTATTGGTGTCAGATACATAATCTTATACGACCTATCTATAAATAGCAAGATAATAATTTGTTCTAGAACACAACATTATTATTATTCATATAAATGTCCATAATACAAAACCTTTTTAAAACTGTATCAAAATTTTGTTCAAGAACTATTTTATAACAATATTCAAATAAAACATTTCTTTTGTTTTTATCAATATTTGAAATACTATGTGTCCATTCACTTTAATTATTGAATAAAATAAATGTGATTTCAATGTTAGGGATTATAAGGGAATCTATCGGGTTTCTTTTGTAATTCTATAATAATCCATCTTAGTGTATCTGTAATTACAGATTTTCATTTAACAAGCTTGCAAGCAGGTAGAAGCATGACTCCTTTTATATAATTAATAACCCCTGGATAATGATAGCTTAAGTAAAAAAAATTGAATATATTTTCTTATGACAAAAGTGCTCAAAACAATTCTGAGATAAGTTATAGATAGGACTATAAACGTAAATTTTAAATAATGGTGAATTTGACACTCAGTTTTTACTACAATTTTTTTAAATTTAAGACAAAAATTCTGATTAGAAATAAAATGTGTTTTTTTTTTCAGTTACTTAAATCTGAACTTAAAAAATATTAAACTGTTGTTGCAAATCTCAAAGTTTGACTACAAAATCAAAATTATTATTTTTTTTTTCCTTTGGCTTTAACCAAACAAAGTTGCTCAATAATGACAGTTACACAGCCTATATTTTTAGGAAGCAATATAAACATTTGATAGTGGATTATAGGGAAAACTAGGCATCCTTAACTGTGTTGCCCCTCCTTAGTCAACTTATATTACTGGCATTTAAACTTGTAAATAATGATCATGTTAAAAAAAGGATTGCTTAAATTGTCTTGAAATAATTTTTTAAAAAAATCAGAAAAAAATCATAACATGCATGCATATGAGATTTATACTTCATTTTCTTCCTAATCAAAATCAATTCAATTCATTATATAATTATATTCTTTGTTCCTTGTTATAAGAGACTTTGATCTTTCTTTGATCAGTCGCTTATGTCAATAAGAAAAATGGGACAAATATAGGAAAGCAATGACTAGAACTTCATTAAGAACAGCAAAAAAATCAATAGCCCTTAACCTGCTGGAACTGGAATAGATTAGCCTTGCCACCAGTATAGAGTTACCAGTATATAGTTAGGCAAATTTTGCCACCAGTATAGAGTTAGGCAAGACTTGCCACCAGTATAGAGTTAGGCAAACCTTGCCACCAGTATAGAGTTAGGCAAACCTCTACCACCAGTATAGAGTTAGGCAAGACTTGCCACCAGTATAGAGTGAGGCAAGCCTTTGCCACCAGTATAGAGTTTGGCAAGCCTTTGCCACCAGTATAGAGTTAGGCAAGCCTTTGCCACCAGTATGGAATTAGGCAAACCTTGACCCTGTATAGAGTTAGGCAAGGCTTGCCACCAGTATAGAGTTAGGCAAGCCTCTGCCACCAGAATAGAGTTAGCCAAGCATTGCCACCAGTATAGAGTTAGGCAAGGCTTTGCCACCAGTATAGAGTTAGGCAAGCCTTTGCCTTTAGTATAGAGTTAGGCAAGCCTTTGCCTTTAGTATAGAGTTAGGCAAGCCTCTACCACCAGTATAGAGTTAGGCAAGCCTTTGACTTTAGTATAGAGTTAAGCAAGCCTTTGCCAACGTAGAGTTAGGCAAGGCTTTGCCACCAGTATAGAGATGACCAGTATAGAGTTAGGCAAGTCTTTGTAACCAATATGGAGTTAGGTAAGCCTGCAATCTGTGCAGTCTGATAGTTGCTCTATACTGTTTTTGAAGCTCAATTTATGTATTTTAGTATTGAAATCCCTAACTGCAAAAGGATTCCAAATTAAAAGTAGGGCAAGTCCATCACACAAGATCAACAGGTTAAAGGTTACATGACAGGGCAGCAGAATGTTGTAATCTATTGAACAAATCCTCAACAAAAAAAATGGACAATGATCTCTTTGCAAAAGAAAGTACTTTATATTGATACAAATTGCCAGTTTTCTGAATATATAAATTGTTTTCCTTAATTTAGAATACTGACCCTTGACCCATATGCCCTTGTTTCATTAACAGACCTTGACCTTAAGCATGATGCTTTCTGGCACAATGTTCTCTCACTGATTTTCTATGTTAAGACTTCATAGATTTTTATTCTTAAGTAAATAATAATAAATAATGAATAATAATAATAAATAAACAGTATTGAATGTTGTTGTATGTTATATAGAACTGAATCTATCCCTTTCTTCATGTGACATGATATGAACCTATTCATTTTTTATGTGACATGATGTCTCCTAAGATTTATACATCCCTGGCTTTATCAAACTTGTTTTCAAGATTCCTGGTTAAATAATAATGTTGTTGTTCTGATTACAAGTTGTTGAAGTCAAAATATCTTCACTTTTTTACCAAAAAATTTCGAGTCAAGCAAAATAAATGTTTTATCATGATATTCAGAGATCCCAAGCCATAGCAGAACAAGTACATTTGAATTTCTATATTGTCTTTATTTCCACTTTGAAAAAAAAAATGCCTTAAGAATATAAAGTACTTTCTTTGTTGCAATGACATTAAACATTTTCACAACAGTAATGAGTACAACAAAACAATATAATAATAATAATCAATACATAAATTTTAGAGTCCTAAACAGCGAATGTGGACTAAAAAAAAGAAAGAATTACACAGAATTTTGAGTATGTAGAGACCAAAATTATACAAATATTACTCAATATACAGCTTTAACATATTTTAAAAAAACATGTTGTAAAAGAAAAACATGATATGGCTTAACAAAGGCAAAATATTAAGGTATGCCACCCAGCGTTCGGATATCTTCATTGTTTAACAATATCAGATATATCGCTGATGTGACATAACACCTTAAAATATATAAATAACCGCAGACAAAATTTGGAAATGTGAATCAATCCATTGAAGCACTGCAGAACCTATGATTGAATCTATTCAGACATTACATTCAATGATAAAATGAGCCGCGTCATGACAAAACCAACGTAATGGGTTTGTGGCCATCATGGATCCAGACCAGCCTGAGCATCCACTCAGTCTGATCAGGATCCATGCTGTTTGCTTACAAACCCTATTATAAGAGAAACTGATAGCGAACAGCATGGATCCTGATCTGACTGCACGGATGCGCAGCTGGATCCATGCTGGTCGCAAATGCATAACGTTGGTTTTGTAGTGACGCGGCTCAAATAAATTTAAACATTGTTGACATAGCTTTAAGCACTGTTTCTAAAACAAAAATAAGCTTACACTCTGATCCCCATTCACAGCTTTATAAGCATTATACACAATAAATTTACATTGACCAAAATATACAATAAATGTATAATAATATATAAGGAAAAAAATAGCACATTAACACAAAACTAGCTTTGAGCTGATTTCTGATTTATATTATATATTATATATGTATTTACAATACAAATCATATGATGCAAAAAAAGTGATTTTTTCCCCCAAAAGACCACTCTTTTTATCATCACAATATGCTTACTTAGCCCAAAAGGCATATTCAAAAAGTGGTTGCTTAGCAACATTTTTCATCAACAATTTATATGTTGCTATGCAACAATAAAACATCTACATGCATCATTTAGTATTAAAACATTTAATTCATACAATTAAACAATTTGCAATTTTACAGAGAAGCCTTGATATTACAAAATTAATTAATACATAATATACGGTCTATATCAAAATGGAAAAGTTTTTAAAAAAAAACTCAAAGGGTAAATAATGAAATATAGAATGTAAATAAGTGACAAAAATAGAACAAAACATTCAAATAACAATGAAAATATAATAAAACTGTATGTATCATCATAATTATTATTCTACAGACATGTGTATTCAAATGCACTGGCCATTTAAGATGGTGACCGATTTCCGTAATAAATTCCCAAAAAAATCATGACAAATAACTGATATAGTAATTGCAAAAATGCCGTCTGTAATATATTTTTCTCTCGTCATAGAAATCGTCTTTATTTATCTTTTATAATGTGTATGTAAAGAATTATCATGATGCATTTTTTAAAGAATAATTTATTGATAATTAAAACAAAAGCATTTGGTCATCAACAGACCTTTAGTGGGATCAATTTTTCAGGTAACCTTTTCTAAACTCACATAAAAGTGATAATTTAGGATTTGGCAAAATTTAAAATTATGTAATAAAATTTTACCCACAATTCCTACATCTGCTCATAGTCCCAAACCTAGTAACCTCCCCTATCTTGTGTCAACCCAGTCCTTACCCTAGTAACCTCCCTTACTCAATTTCTACCCAATAATCAACATAGTAACCTCCCCTACCTTCTCTCAATGCAGTCCTTACCCTAGTAACCTCCCCTACCTTGTCTCAACCCAGTCCTTACCCTAGTAACCTCCCCTACCTTGTCTCAACCCAGTCCTTACCCTAGTAACCTCCCCTACCTTGTCTCAACCAAGATATCAACCTAGTACCCTCCCCTACCTTCTCCCATCAACCTAGTTACCTCCCCTACCCTTCCAGACCCCAGCTTGATAGCCTCCCCTTCCCTCTTCCAACCCATTCCAAAACTATCTTGTAAATGAAATTTTTTTTATCTTAAATAAAAAAAACATACATTAAGCATCAAATCTTTTTTTTTTTTGGATAAAAGACAACAAATCATAACAGAATAATACAAAGCAAAGAGCAAGTAATGTAAGATATTAATAAATTATGCTCTGAAAAGCGATCTTTTTTATCACTAACAAAAACAAAGATTACGTTTGTTTATCACATTTCAGATTATGCCGGGTTTAAGTTGCAATTATTGATATGTTTATTGTTCCTGTCATACGAGATGAAATAATGCCTTTCTTACAATTTATTTCAAAGAACTATCCGCACATGCCCAAATAAGGTAATATCGCTAATTTTTATCTGTAGAATAGAGCTCAGGTGTTTCTGAAACATGCTCAACATGCATTTAATTGTCATATAGAATCTTATGCATAAAATATCTACGCAGTAACAATAAATGAGGCCTCTATTTTTACTGTGCAGAAGTTATTCCAAGCAATTAAGTGTATTTTATGAGATTGGTAATAGCCAAAAAAACACAAATTTAACTTGTTTTATTATCTTCATATAGAAGTTGAAGAGCAGCATCGTTTTTATTGCTATGGAAACGCAAGTATATGTAAATTAGTCACCCTTATCTGGAATTGTAGAAACTTTAACAGAAGAAGTGCCTTTCCTCTATATACTGGGAAATAAACATCTTGACATATTGTATAATTATTTTGTTTGGAATTTTCATTTTAAGGGTTTCCCAGCAAATAATAGTAATTTCTATAATTTAGAACAAGAAAGTAAATTTTAATTTCTGTTAAACGTAAAGCTCCTCTTATAATAGTATAAAGAATTATTATTCAACTAACAATTCTATGTTCAAAAATACTTTAGTACAAAAATAATTATCATGTGAGCTGTAATCAGTTACAACTTGCCTAGCTTCTATATTTACATGCAATCCTGCCATTGGCTTATTTGAAATTTACAACAGCCAATGAAAATAGCTGTTGTATTATACATTAAAAACTTCACCTCAGATTCATGCCAGTGATGAATGATATTTAAATTGCAAGTCCAGTTTTTTTTAATTTTAAATAAAATCATTCTGTTACTTCCACAAGCTGACTACCAAGAATCCTGAAGTTTATAGCGTGTAGAAGGAAATGTGTATAAATATCACAGATAGAGACTGTTGTAATCTTGTAACTGTTATTGACCAAATGCTTTCATTTCCACGCATCTTTAACGAAACTTATGGTTTTGTCTGTTTTGCTTTTTTTGGTTTGATTCTTAAAGCAGTTTCAAGTAATATTGAGTAAAAATAAAAACTATTTATAGTAACAATCATGAAGAAGTAAGTACAGCCAATCAAATGGTTCTTTTCTGATTCTAGATATTCTGGTGATAAATTATGTAACATGGGACATGATTGGATGAAAAGAAAAAGAAGAAAAAAACGCACACAGATCAAAATGTGATTTCTAAAAATTCCACCAATTATATTGGTTGGTTTACATGATAAGAAAACAATATTTTTCTAGTATCAACAACATCTTTAAAAAATGTATCCTTAGGACTGAATTAATAACAAAATAACATTTACAGTGCAAAAATGTTTCCTGGTACTCAGTGCTCCTTTCAGGATTGAGTTACCAGAATCAATGTCACATATTAGCAATTAAAACTCTATTTCATAAAAAAATACACCAATGAGACTTCACATTAAATATAAAGAATGTCAAATTTACTGACATTTTGTAAAATCCAATCTGATTGGATGATTGACAAATAACAAGTTCCTAAATCCAATCTGATTGGATATCGTATATGAATAAAGCAATTTCATTGGATAAGTTACATCAGCGCTCCACATTCTTCCACTTCATCAGCAGCAAAGCTTGTGTAGTGATCTATTGAAGGCATGAAGACATGCTGGGGATTAGCTGGCTTACGCTGTTTTCTTTGTCTTATTATATTAGGATCAGATATATGATTAGAAGTGGGTGAATTTTTATTATCACTTCTGTCCACAAACTCCATTTCTGACTCTTGAACTGTCTGTATAACATTACCGTGTCCATTTTGTTTAGGAGTTGTATGTTGACTGTTCATTTGTGTTAAATTGTTTCCCCTATTGTAGCTAAGGTCATCCTGCATATTTGGGGTCAAATTTCCATCAGCTATCATCATATTCTGTGCATGTATTTCAGATTTCTCTGTGTAACCATTATTTGGACTGCTCAGCTCCATGTCATTGCACATTCCCATCTGTATATTTCCGTTTCGACTCTGCATTCGAATTTCCTCAGACTCGCGATGTACGGTCCCCATATTCATATTATCATCAATCACCATATCTTCATTCTGCTGCAATTTCTCCTCTGACATAACTCTGTCAGTGTTCATTCTTATATTGCCCCTATCCATCATGTCAAAGTCATTTCTACTGGCTTTATTAACATCAGATTTATGCATTCTTGCACTATAATCATTATCAACTCTTTCTGCGTTACGGTCTACCATCTCCATGCCAACTTTCTGATTCTGACCACCATCACCACTGCTGCCACTACCTAACATCATTGTCTTTTCTTGAGCCATTATTCCAGTACAATTATTTCTTGAGTCAGTTCTTGGAATCTGTGTGGGCATTATTCGTCCACCATTTAAATTCATGTCGATACTATTCCTTCCAGGCAATCCAATCATATCATTTTCCTGTGTACCAAGCATACCATTTCTTTGGTTTGACCGTAAATGATTATCTTGGTTAGGATTCATATCATTTGTGCGATTCATAATAATATCTGAATTGGCGGAACTATTTCTAGCGTTAATATTCTGATCCAAATTGAGACTGCTTCTACGCATCTCCAACGACATCTGACCATCCATACCCATGCCCATGTTTTCGTTGACACGATCAGATCTGTTATAATTCGGACTGCTCAAGTTATTTCTGCTACCCATATCATTACGGCTTCGAAGTCTCAAGTCATCGTGGCGGTTCGGAGCGTAACTATCTATTCCGTTAATATTCATACCGTTGTAATTTCGACTATTGTCATACCGATCTCTTGGAGGAAAATCTACCATATCATTTCTTGAATTAAAGAACATACTTCGATCATTCATATCCGGTATCATGTTACGACCATCAAATGACATACCAGCTTGTCGGCTGCCATCTCGACGATTCATTGATAACATCTGATCTTGGAATCGAGATCGAAATTCTTGGAAATTTTCTGCCATTCTTTGAAACTTTTCCCCACTTGGATCAAACAACTTCGCCTCAAGCTCCTTAAAATCAAATGATCGTACAGCATCATGGAACCTGCTAGGTGAGAATGGCTCAAATGAACGGTCATTGAAACGGTTCATATCGCGGAAATGATTCTGTAAACCAAATCTTTGTTCAAACATACTGTCTATCTTATCATGACCTCTTTCTGGTAAACGTTCTGACAAACTTCGCTGAAATATTTTGCTATCGTGTGGCATTTCATTATTCATTGAGAACTTCCCAGAATCTGAAAATATAAATGAAAACGACTGTAATTTTTCAAGTTGTAATATAATAATATCATTAAAAATTGAGTCAAGTTATTAAATTCAAACTAGAATAATCTGTAGAGATAATGTGCACAGTAAGGAAAATATGACTCATTTAAACAGAACAAAATGACATCCTTAGGCAAAGTAACAATCTAATAACCTTTTGTAAGATAAAAATTTTAATAACAGTTGATTTAAAAAAAATATAACAGTGACGATTTCTTCTCTTTTATCTAATGAGGTTATCTGAGGGAAGAAAATTGTAAAACATTAAAGTTGGTGTCATCTTTAACCTGCTGACATCATGTACCAGGATTGCCAAGCTTCCAATACTGTCAAAGTTCAAGGGACCATTTAGAACAGTCCTGTCAAAGTTCAAGGGACCATTTGGAACAGTCCTGTCAAAGTTCAAGGGACCATTTAGAACAGTCCTGTCAAAGTTCAAGGGACCATTTAGAACAGTCCTGTCAAAGTTCAAGGGACCATTTAGAACAGTCCTGTCAAAGTTCAAGGGATCATTTGGAACAGTCCTGCCAAGTTCAAGGGATCATTTGGAACAGTGATGTCAAAGTTCAAGTGATCATTTGGAACAGTCCTGTCAAAGTTCAAAGGATCATTTGGAACAGTGATGTCAAAGTTCAAGTGATCATTTGGAACAGTCCCGTCAAAGTTCAAAGGATCATTTGGAACAGTGATGTCAAACTTCAAGGGATCATTTAGAACAGTCCTGTCAAAATTCAAGGGATCTCTTGGAACAGTCCCGTCAAAGTTCAAGGGATCATTTAGAACAGTCCTGTCAAAGTTCAAGGGATCATTTGGAACAGTCCTGTCAAAGTTCAAGGGATCATTTGGAACAGTCCTGTCAAAGTTCAAAGGATCATTTGGAACAGTCCTGTCAAAGTTTCAAGTGATCATTTGGAACAGTCCCGTCAAAGTTCAAAGGATCATTTGGAACAGTCCTGTCAAAGTTCAAGGGATCATTTGGAACAGTCCTGTCAAGGTTCAAGGGATCATTTGGAACAGTCCTGTCAAAGTTCAAGTGATCATTTGGAACAGTCCCGTCAAAGTTCAAGGGATCATTTAGAACAGTCCTGTCAAAGTTCAAGGATCATTTGGAACAGTCCTGTCAAAGTTCAAGTGATCATTTGGAACAGTCCCGTCAAAGTTCAAAGGATCATTTGGAACAGTCCTGTCAAAGTTCAAGGATCATTTGGAACAGTCCTGTCAAAGTTCAAGGGATCATTTGGAACAGTCCTGTCAAAGTTCAAGGGATCATTTGGAACAGTCCTGTCAAAGTTCAAGGGATCATTTGGAACAGTCCTGTCAAAGTTCAAGGGATCATTTGGAACAGTGATGTCAAAGTTCAAGGGATCATTTGGAACAGTGATGTCAAAGTTCAAGGGATCATTTGGAACAGTCCTGTCAAAGTTCAAGGGATCATTTGGAACAGTCCTGCCAAGTTCAAGTGATCATTTGGAACAGTCCTGTCAAAGTTCAAGGGACAATTTGCAACAGTCCTGTCAAAGTTCAAGGGATCATTTGGAACAGTCCTGTCAAAGTTCAAGGGATCATTTGGAACAGTCCTGCCAAGTTCAAGTGATCATTTGGAACAGTCCTGTCAAAGTTCAAGGGATCATTTGGAACAGTCCTGTCAAAGTTCAAGGGATCATTTGGAACAGTCCTGTCAAAGTTCAAGGGATCATTTGGAACAGTCCTGTCAAAGTTCAAGGATCATTTGGAACAGTCCTGTCAAAGTTCAAGGGATCATTTGGAACAGTCCTGTCAAAGTTCAAGGGATCATTTGGAACAGTCCTGTCAAAGTTCAAGGGATCATTTGGAACAGTCCTGTCAAAGTTCAAGGATCATTTGGAACAGTCCTGTCAAAGTTCAAGGGATCATTTGGAACAGTCCTGTCAAAGTTCAAGGGATCATTTGAACAGTCCTGTCAAAGTTCAAGGGATCATTTGGAACAGTCCTGTCAAAGTTCAAGGGATCATTTGGAACAGTCCGTCAAAGTTCAAGTGATCTCTTGGAACAGTCCCGTCAAAGTTCAAGGGATCATTTGGAACAGTCCCCTCAATGTTCAAGGATCATTTGGAACAGTCCTGTCAAAGTTCAAGGGATAATTTGGAACAGTCCCTGTCAAAGTTCAAGTGATCTCTTGGAACAGTCCCGTCAAAGTTCAAGGGATCATTTGGAACAGTCCTGTCAAAGTTCAAGGGATCATTTGGAACAGTCCTGTCAAAGTTCAAGGGATCATTTGGAACAGTCCTGTCAAAGTTCAAGTGATCATTTGGAACAGTCCTGTCAAAGTTCAAGTGATCATTTGGAACAGTCCTGTCAAAGTTCAAGGGATCATTTGGAACAGTCCTGTCAAAGTTCAAGTGATCATTTGGAACAGTCCCGTCAAAGTTCAAGGATCATTTGGAACAGTCCCGTCAAAGTTCAAGTGATCTCTTGGAACAGTCCTGTCAAAGTTCAAGGGATCATTTAGAACAGTCCTGTCAAAGTTCAAGGGATCATTTAGAACAGTCCCGTCAAAAGTTCAAGTGATCATTTGGAACAGTCCTGTCAAAGTTCAAGGGATTATTTGGAACAGTCCTGCCAAGTTCAGGTGATCATTTGGAACAGTCCTGTCAAAGTTCAAGGGATCATTTGGAACAGTCCTGTCAAAGTTCAAGGGATCATTTGGAACAGTCCTGTCAAAGTTCAAGGGATCATTTGGAACAGTCCTGTCAAAGTTCAAGGGATCATTTGGAACAGTGATGTCAAAGTTCAAGGGATCATTTGGAACAGTCCCGTCAAAGTTCAAGGGATCATTTGGAACAGTCCTGTCAAAGTTCAAGGATCATTTGGAACAGTCCTGTCAAAGTTTAAGGGATCATTTGGAACAGACCCGTCAAAGTTCAAGGGATCATTTGGAACAGTCCTGTCAAAGTTCAAGTGATCATTTGGAACAGTCCCGTCAAAGTTCAAGGGATCATTTGGAACAGTCCCGTCAAAGTTCAAGTGATCTTCTTGGAACAGTCGCGTCAAAGTTCAAGGGATCATTTGGAACAGTCCTGTCAATGTTCAAGGGATCATTTGGAACAGTCCTGTCAAAGTTCAAGGGATAATTTGGAACAGTCCTGTCAAAGTTCAAGTGATCTCTTGGAACAGTCCCGTCAAATTTCAAGGGATCATTTGGAACAGTCCTGTCAAAGTTCAAGGGATCATTTGGAACAGTCCTGTCAAAGTTCAAGGATCATTTGGAACAGTCCCGTCAAAGTTCAAGTGATCTCTTGGAACAGTCCCGTCAAAGTTCAAGGATCATTTGGAACAGTCCCGTCAAAGTTCAAGGGATCATTTGGAACAGTCCTGTCAAAGTTCAAGAGATCATTTGGAACAGTCCGTCAAAGTTCAAGTGATCTTTGGAACAGTCCGTCAAAGTTCAAGGATCATTTGGAACAGTCCCGTCAAAGTTCAAGGGATCATTTAGAACAGTCCTGTCAAAGTTCAAGGGATCATTTGGAACAGTCCTGTCAAAGTTCAAGTGATCTTTGGAACAGTCTGTCAAAGTTCAAGTGATCATTTGGAACAGTCCCGTCAAAGTTCAAGTCCTGATCATTTGGAACAGTCTGTCAAAGTTCAAGGATCATTTGGAACAAAGTTCAAGGGATCATTTGGAACAGTCCTGTCAAAGTTCAAGGGATCATTTGGAACAGTCCCTGTCAAGAACTCCTTCAAAGTTCAAGGGATCATTTGGAACAGTCCTGTCAAAGTTCAAGGATCATTTGGAACAGTACCGTCAAAGTTCAAGGGATCATTTGGAACAGTCCTGTCAAAGTTCAAGGGATCATTTGGAACAGTCCCTGTCAAAGTTCAAGGATCATTTGGAACAGTCCTGTCAAAGTTCAAGGGATCATTTGGAACAGTCCTGTCAAAGTTCAAGGGATCATTTGGAACAGTCCCGTCAAAGTTCAAGGGATCATTTTGGAACAGTCCTGTCAAAGTTCAAGGGATCATTTGGAACAGTCCTGTCAAAGTTCAAGGGATCATTTAGAACAGTCCTGTCAAAGTTCAAGGGATCATTTGGAACAGTCCCGTCAAAGTTCAAGTGATCTCTTGGAACAGTCCCGTCAAAGTTCAAGGGATCATTTAGAACAGTCCTGTCAAAGTTGAAGTGATCATTTGGAACAGTCCTGTCAAAGTTCAAGGGACCATTTAGAACAGTTCTGTCAAAGTTGAAGTGATCATTTGGAACAGTAATGCCAAAGTTCAAGCGATTTCTACATGTTTGTTTATCAAAATGCAAAAAGTTGAAATACCAACAGTATTACAACAGGCACATAGGTATTCCTGTCTTGTTGGTTAATACATTGCTCTGTGAAAGGAATCTGTATACCTACCTGTGTGAAGGTTTTTTTTTGTTTTTTTTTCAAGTTTATACAGTTTACAATTCACTCTGAGACATAAAATTTCATTTATTCATAGTTATTTTGAAGATGATATTCTCAGTTAAAAAAACTTTAGTTTCAATTTCTTATCAAAGAAGAATTATTTCAAGTTTAACCAACGTCAATGAATATAATAATTATGCACCTTTTGCCTTTATATATACAAAAATACACTCTGAATTTTTTTTTTAAAGTTTGAGACAATATCTTATTTCCATAGCAACCAGAAGTTCTTAATTAGTAGTATGATGTGTGAAGAAACCTGTTGATAATATTCGAGAATGAGGTGGTGTTTATAAACAAGTGTTTCTTTTTGTTTGTTTTGTTTTGGTTTGGTTTTATATCACACTAACACAGTATCTATAGGTCATATGACAACTTTCCAGCTGGTGGACAGGTAGACCTCAGGTGGCCCTCCGTGCATTATTTCTGACACAAGTGGTCACCTCAGTATTATAATTTATAAGCAAGCCTTCATGGAATACCAACTATCATAAATATCATAAAGAAAAGATAATAGTATCATTTTTTATTGAATA